TCAGACCTAGGCAGGTGGAGCTGGGGGAGATATTATATATATATATATATATATATATATATATATATATATATATATAATGTAACAATTAAGCATAAAAATCCAAATTAGAATTTAATTATATAAATGTTCTAATAGCATATATAGTGAAAATCTAGTTCATTATATATATGGTGTTAGAACATACTAATTATACACTCACCTAAAGGATTATTAGGAACACCTGTTCAATTTCTCATTAATGCAATTATCTAATCAACCAATCACATGGCAGTTGCTTCAATGCATTTAGGGGTGTGGTCCTGGTCAAGACAATCTCCTGAACTCCAAACTGAATGTCAGAATGGGAAAGAAAGGTGATTTAAGCAATTTTGAGCGTGGCATGGTTGTTGGTGCCAGACGGGCCGGTCTGAGTATTTCACAATCTGCTCAGTTACTGGGATTTTCACGCACAACCATTTCTAGGGTTTACAAAGAATGGTGTGAAAAGAGAAAACATCCAGTATGCAGCAGTCCTGTGGGCGAAAATGCCTTGTTGACGCTAGAGGTCAGAGGAGAATGGGCCGACTGATTCAAGCTGATAGAAGAGCAACTTTGACTGAAATAACCACTCGTTACAACCGAGGTATGCAGCAAAGCATTTGTGAAGCCACAACACGCACAACCTTGAGGCGGATGGGCTACAACCGCAGAAGACCCCACCGGGTACCACTCATCTCCACTACAAATAGGAAAAAGAGGCTACAATTTGCAAGAGCTCACCAAAATTGGACAGTTGAAGACTGGAAAAATGTTGCCTGGTCTGATGAGTCTCGATTTCTGTTGAGACATTCAGATGGTAGAGTCAGAATTTGGCGTAAACAGAATGAGAACATGGATCCATCATGCCTTGTTACCACTGTGCAGGCTGGTGGTGGTGGTGTAATGGTGTGGGGGATGTTTTCTTGGCACACTTTAGGCCCCTTAGTGCCAATTGGGCATCGCTTAAATGCCACGGCCTACCTGAGCATTGTTTCTGACCATGTCCATCCCTTTATGGCCACCATGTACCCATCCTCTGATGGCTACTTCCAGCAGGATAATGCACCATGTCACAAAGCTCGAATCATTTCAAATTGGTTTCTTGAACATGACAATGAGTTCACTGTACTAAAATGGCCCCCACAGTCACCAGATCTCAACCCAATAGAGCATTTTTGGGATGTGGTGGAACGGGAGCTTCGTGCCCTGGATGTGCATCCCACAAATCTCCATCAACTGCAAGATGCTATCCTATCAATATGGGCCAACATTTCTAAAGAATGCTTTCAGCACCTTGTTGAATCAATGCCACGTAGAATTAAGGCAGTTCTGAAGGCGAAAGGGGGTCAAACACAGTATTAGTATGGTGTTCCTAATAATCCTTTCGGTGAGTGTATATCAATAATAAATGAATAATAATATTTATTTCACAATACAGTAATGAGAAAGAATTTGTTTTTTGCATTATTATGATAAGAATTGGAAAAATTATCTTATTTATTAATTTATAAAAATTGTCTCAATTAAATGAATAAAAATAATAATTGTGGTAAAATAAGCATACTATATTTTCTTCTGATTTTGTATTGTGAACGTGTTTTATGAGATGTATCCTTGAATTGGTTTTCTTTGAATGTGCGTTGTCATTTTAGGGGAGCTGATAGACATTTTGAGTAATTTGTGTTAGTGTGGATGCTCTCTGAGCTCACTCTGCAAGGTCAAAATCACCCAGACACACACACACACACACACAAATACACAGAGGCATAGAGATGCATGAGTCACAAAGAGAAACTTCAGACTGACTTCCTGTGGGTCTCTTAGGATTTTCCACGAGGATCAAGGTGATGTGAGGAATTTGACATTGCTGTGGTCCATGACGTCAGTCTGAGTGGTTTAGGATTTAATTTGTATAATTGATGTTGTCAACAGCTGACCTCAGATGTGTTTAAATCCCTGCCAAAACCTAAACACTCAAAGCCAAACACAAGAACATCTGACATGTTCTCAATGGTAATATGACGGATATCTGCATGCATGTGCTGTTGCATGCAGTGCTGGATACAGGCAGTGTCTGAAGTGCTAATGGCTCGTATTTCTCATCTTACGTAAGAGCTTAAGAGGCTCGACTGGATTTAATCCCGCCCTGACGGACGGGAAAGGTGGAGCCACACGCCAGCCAATCCCCTCACGGCCATTGACACTCGCTGCGGTTGCAGACAGGTTGTATGGTGCTGGAATGTAAAGACACACGGTGTTAGGTGACTCCCTTCACCCTGATCCGAGATCAGATTTCCTTGCATAATCCAAACCTGCTATTAAAGCTATCTGAAGTCAGCAGCAGTAGTAAGAGCAGATGCTTCAGAATAGCACATGTTGAGTGAAGTATGAGTAATGAAAGAGGAAAAGAGCGAAATGATGATATGTGCAAACCTGCTAGGATGAATATTACACGCTGTTGGTTTTATTACCACATAGTTTTCTGCTTTTTGCTTTAAGTTAATGTACTACAAGAAACAAATGTAAAAGATATAGCAGTGGGCATCTTTTCTTACTGTTTATCAAATTCACCCCTATATAATCGACGGAAAAATGAACATTATCTTATTATTTACTCAGCCTCATGTTCACTTTCCTTCTTCTGTGAAACACTTCTGTGATATATATATTTCTAACAGTGTTATTTTAGTATTATTCATTTATTTATAGTAATCATATTATTATTAGAATGGTCTTTTCATGTTTCATTTTAATTTTTGTTTATTTTTTTGTAATTTTGATATTTGCTTTTGATATTTTTATTTATTTTTATTTCAGTTTGTTGTTTTAGTTCATTTATTTGATTATTAACAACATGCTTCAACTTAGACTTATTTCAAGGCAAGGCAACATTTCTCATTTTTTTTTAGTTTAAGATTGTATTTTATTTTATTTATGTCAATAAGCCAAAATGTTTTACAGTTTTTCTCGATTGCTTAAACACATTTCTTGAAACTATGCCTCGTATTCTCAAAACAGTAAACACAAATCCATAACGTCTCACCCAATTCCCCAAACATCCTATTTTCAGGTCAAAATGAAGCTCTACACTCAAAACCATTCACTCTTGCTGAAAAACCAAACTTTGCCCTCAGACAGGACACACAAGCCCTCAAAAATACACACACTACAACATAGTCTTACACACTGGTGCTATAAATTCAAAACAACATTTCCAAAACTGGTAATTAATGTTGCTTGTGGTCCCCCACCCTCCCTCCCCCCCCCCATCTTTTTTTTCCTCTCTCCTACTCAAACGTAAGATGTGTGTGAGCATCATATGACGGTAAAAGAGCACACACAAACCTTATTCAAAAATGGAATTGTATTGGAATGGTAAAGAGTGTGGGTACATGCCTCCACTCAAGGATACAATATGACGAACAAGTCTAAGAATGTTCCACGTATGGTTGAAATACCATCATTGGCCTAGAAAGATAACATTCTGGGAGTCAAGACTATAAAGGAGAAAGGATGCCCTCCCTTCACTGTCACACTCTGCAGCCACTCTGTGACTGTACGAATGCTGGCCTTTTCTTGCAAGAACATAAACCTCATCAAAGACAATTAGAAATGTTTGTCTCTTATTCAGTGATAGAAATTTGTTTGCCACCACACCTCCCTGATGGTTCTGATGATGGAGGCGACGGTGAAGCGACTCAAATTTGGCTGTACTCTTTGTCCAGCCTCCCTCATAGTCATACCATGGACAAGGACATGGCCAACTAAAGTGGCTTGAATTTCATCCGAGACTGCTTGTCTTCTTGCCCTTCCTCCTCCTCCTCCTTCTTCTCCTCCTCCTCCTCTTCCTCCTCCTATTCCTCTTCCTCCTCCTGTTCCTCCTCCTCCTCCTCTTCCTCCTCCTTTTCCTCCTCCTCCTCCTCCTCTTCCTCTCCCTCCTCGACATATTGCTTAATTTCTCTGTGGATCCATTGTTCCAAAACTCAGTAAACTGATTTTTATCTTTTATAAAAGATTGTATAACCTTTTATCTATCTATTGAAGGATTTGACTGATGTGTGTTCAATTTTGACTCTTAGTGTTTTCACCTGGGTAATTGTGTGCTAACTGAGCTGAAGCTGTGCTGACTTGAGTGAACAATTTTGAATGCTAGTGCTTTCTAAATAACCACGTGGTGTAGGCAATGAGAAATGAAGGGATTTGTGTGTAGAGTTTTGCTGTGACAGTTCAACAAATCTGACTAATGTGTCAAAACAGGGGAATAGTGTTCATAGTTCAGTGAAATGGGTGTGCTTTTTGATAAATGGCATTATGGTTTTGAAATTTTAGTTCAAAAGCCTGGTTATAGTGTTTAAGCAATCAAGAAAAACTGTAATAGTTTTACTTAACCATAATCATGCAGTTCGCAATCAGACTTGCCATTTTTCCTAATGGGTTATAAAACGGGTGGGAAAAAAAACACTGAAGTAGAGACTCGAGCCAGAATATCATACAGAATACCACCTAGCAACCACCAGAACACCTTAGCAACCACAAAGCAATGGACTGGCAACCACCGTAAAGCATCTTCAGGGTGAAATGTAAAAATCTAGTATAATAATGTTCTTTCTCCTCTCTGTTACCCCCCACCCTCCTCTCTCTCTCTCTCTCTCTCTCTCTCTCGCTCTTTGTTATGAAACTATGTTCGCTCTGCCTTTGAGAGTCGAATCAAGCATGACGGGAACCATAAGTTCTGTATCTGTTCTCTTTCTCATCAGAGCAAACTCTATAGTTGTAGCTGAAAGCTGGTTCCTCATTTCGTGCATCTGTTTTCTCCAATGGTTGAGTCTGACCTGTGAACTCGAGTCAGGCCGGCCGAATGTGTCAACACTGATTAAAGAGTGTGCTCTTCAACAGGAAGTAGTCACATGGATGGATGATGCAGGAATATCTATGAATGACTAAATGAATAGTCCACTCTTTCTGTCTCTTTGTTTCAGTGTACAGGAGAGGAGAACTGGGTGGACAGCAGGACGGTTTATATTGGACAAAAAGAGCCTCCGCCAGGAACAGAAGCGTACATTCCGCAGAGATTTCCTGACAACAGAATCGTCTCCTCAAAGGTCAGATGTGCTCCACGGCCAAACAATACGTTAGGGAGGATGTACTGTACAGTCAGACAGTCATTCTTGCAAAATAAACAATGAAAGGATGATCAGGTGGTCTTGTATGGCGAAAGAAAAACACATTTTCTTAATCGTTATTTTAGTTTTATCTTCCAAGATATATATAAAAAAGTATGAAATAAAATCTGAATATTTGCTATTAAATAAAAGATAATAATTTCATTTGAAAGTATATATATTCAATTAAGTTTATTTTTCTTACATTGGCTCGTTTTTTGCTTGTTTTAAGCATAAACAAAAAAATTACATAAAAATAAAGATATCATATGTTGTTTTTATACTGATTTAAACAAAATTTGCAGTTAATACGTTTTAGTGGTCATTGTATAAAAATTCTTGAGTGCTGAATTATAGGTCAGGACCTTTTCACTTGGAATGCTGGTTTTGTTCTGTTTTGTTTAGTTTTTTTAGTTTTGTTTCATACTAAGTATAGTACAAATCTATTAGCATATTTACTGACATATCGCTTGAGACTTACTGATATAAATATAATTAAACTTTATTTGGAGTACTTCTTTTTTGCACAATGCACATTTCTTGATATTAAGCCTAAAATAATCACATATCACTATTAGGAAGGATAACACTGAATAATATCAGTCTTTAAATGCAAGATATTTAAAGTGTAGTACCTAAAGTATACTTGCAATAGTTCCACTTAAGCACAATCAACCATACTTAAGTATATCTTTAGTTGCACCTCAGCACTATTTCTGGATAACTAAAGTACAAAATTAGTTTTAAAGTGAATGAATTTACAGCAGACTTTTAAGTGTATGAATTTAGTATGCCAAAAGTACAATCGCAGGCTATTTATATTAAGTAGACAAATATGTAAATGTATTTGTAGGTTACTTAGCATAAAATAAATCAAATATATTTTGGTATATTTATTTTTCACTACAGTAGGCATTGATAAAGGTCACATGTAACTGAAACGTTTGCCACTTTTCATTAAGGTGTTTCTTTAATAGGTGCTTTTGGTCTACGCACCTCATTTGGACAAGGCGCGGTGAATTCTTGGCTTTTTTTTTCTTCAAATTCTGTCTGTTTTGCTTTCAAACATCTCTCTTTCTTTCCACAGTATACTTTCTGGAATTTTATACCGAAGAATCTCTTTGAGCAGTTCAGAAGAATCGCCAATTTCTATTTTCTGATCATCTTTCTAGTGCAGGTGTGTGATGGTGTCGCTTATGGAAATTGTCCCATTAGCATGAGTTGACCTTTCTGTGACAGCGTGATGTGTGATATTTCCCTTCTCACCATCTCTCTCTGTAGCTGATCATTGACACACCCACCAGTCCTATGACCAGCGGTCTGCCTCTTTTCTTTGTCATCACTGTTACAGCCATTAAACAGGTGAGAAAAGACCCCTGACTTTCCTATCTAATTGATGTTATAATTGTGACGTCACTCCTTCACTCGTCTCTCTCGCCACACTTCTTCTCTGCAGGGCTATGAAGACTGGATAAGGCACAAAGCGGACAACGCTATAAACCAATGTCCAGTCCACGTCATCCAGCATGGCAAAGTCGTACGCAAACAGAGTCAAAAGCTACGGGTGCGTAAGCTAAGCACATATAAAATCTGTCTGTTAAAAGGTTTCCCAAACAGTCCTCTTTGTTTTTCCATTGGTGAAGACAACAGATGCCCCAAACTCATCTCATTTGTTGAGCCAGTGTTGGGCTGGTTGAGACACTTAAAGTCCCCCTGTGGTGAAAATCCAGCTTTTAATGTTGTTTATATGTCTATGTGGTGTTTTTAATCTGCTTTAAGACAAACCATGTGCAAATTCACAAGTCAACACCATTGCTGAGTATTTTCTCCTTAAAACTGCAGTGAACCAAAGACAGTCTCAAAAACACGGTTTAAAATCGCTGGAGTTTCTGGCGTCACAAACTAGCTTGTAACCAATCACGTCAACGTGTGATCGTCAACGAGTGGATCTCTGAGCTGGTGTGAGTGAGTGGAGGCGGGGCTAATTTGCATATTCATAGAACCGCGTATACTAAATGAGGAAAGAGTGTAGAGTTACATCCAAGCTACTTTAAGGCATGAGGGTTTTTTTTTTTAAATATGTCATTTTGGTGATCAAACATGAGTTTTAAGGGATACAATTATTGACTACAGGGGCACTTTAAATAAACAGCAGTTTTGAAAGTCCCACAATGTTTCCATTTTTCAGGAAAATTAACCTATAAATGGCTTACTATCTATGCATATTAATATAGCATAAGAGAAAATATTTGAATGCTGAAAAAATGACACACCTCAAGTGTGAAAATGAGTTTTCGTTTTATTCTCAGAGAAATAAATCAACAAAGTTTCGCTCTGCTAACCAGCATTCTGCTTACACAGCCAGCTTGCTGTTTGGAAACAGAATGTTGGCATGTCAACAAGCAGAATGACAGTGTGCCCGCGTTACCCACAATGCACTGGGAATCTTTTGTTATTTAATTGTGGAACTATTTCTCTCTCACTCTCTTTCAATATGAAATAATCAGTATTTTAATGTTAGAAACATTTTTTTTCTTAAAATGTCTTTATTAGTTTAGAATCCCCCCCCCCCCCCCCCCCCCCCTAAAATATATATATATTTTTTTACTCTGATCATCCCATTGTTTTTCATGGTATTTTTTGCTATCCAGAATTCATTCTGCATGATTTCATGCAATAAAGTGAGTAAAAAAAAAAAAACATTGAAAAACACTGTGACGATAAAGAAAAAATGTGCTTGAATACTAACCATTACAGCTTTTCCTACTGATAATCCGGCCAGCATCTGTAATCCGTTATGCAACACATGCAGACAGGCCAGCGGGAACAATTACCAGGATCAGGATTTTCATTTATGTAGATTCATGAATACACAGTCAAACCTAAATGTATTCAGACACCTTCAACATTTCTTACATTATCACAGTTTATTCGCTATAGTTTAGAAAATGGTAATAAAATATGACAACTGGTTTTGGCCATCCTTCTGTTAGACTGTCTCACAAATGAATTAGGTTAAATAGGTGTCAGCTGTTAAATTGAAGTACACAATTAAATAATACCAATTTAGGTCAACCAATTACCAAGCAATGCTTAATTTTGTTCAGTCTGTGGTGTTAAAAGGTCGCATCAGCAATTAAAGAAAAAAACACTTAAGCAAAACATGGTCAGGTCAAAGTGTCTGAATCATTTTTGGTCCCAAATTTTTTATAAATTTGACTGGTAGTCCACTGTATGAATAATTAATTAATTAGGTATAATATGTCACATAATATAATTTAGCTATCCTCACTTACATAAATAAACTATAGTGTCCTGTACCCACTAGTAAAAAAAAAAAAAATGATATCTGGTATCTGAATAATTTTTGGTTTGACTGTATATATTTTTATCTATAACCCATTATCTATAACTCATCATCAAGTCATTACTATAGGCAACTCACTGTCTATAGTTGATTTGTTGATATTGGTGTGACAGTATATCTTACTTTATTACGTACTTACTTTATACCTTTACATACGTATGGGTATGAAGACATTATCTGTCCCACATTATAAATGTTGAATTGAACCCTTTCCTGCTCTTTGACCTTTCAGGTGGGTGATATTGTCCAGGTGAAGGAGGATGAGACGTTTCCGTGTGACCTCATACTGCTCTCCACCAGTAGAGAAGACGGGACATGTTTCGTCACAACAGCCAGCTTAGATGGAGAGTCCAGCCATAAGGTGATTGGTCATTTTATAGAAAGGCAAACATCACTGTTATTATTCCTAAATTTAGGAGTTTATTGTAAACTTACAAGTCGCATTTACATTTACATACTGTCACATTTATTCATATAGTTTCAAAGCAGCTTCTCAGTAATAAACTGGAAAATATCAGAATCAGTGATGCAAACTTCATCAATTATGAGGCGAATTCAAGTTCTGCTGTAAAGAAGCTCTAAAAAAGACAATAGTGTCATTAATTCAGCACAAGTTAGTTCGGTATTGATTGTTGATGTTGCAAAATTCATCAATTATGAAACAAAGTCGCATCAGCTATAAAGCAGCTCTGCAGAAAACAGTAGTGTCATCTTCCAGTTTTGTTCTCATACATTGTGACTGAAATGTTACACTGTGACTGAAATGTGTTGGTCGCACTATACAGCGCACTGCCAGTTACTCTCATTAGATAGGAGATTGTAGAAATACGTGTGAGAGTTTTTGACCTTGGAATGTCGACTGGTTTCTCTCGTGCTCTCCTCTCTACACAAAGACCTATTATGCAGTTCAGGACACAAAGGCATTCAACACAGCAGAGGAGGTGGACACACTGCATGCCACGATAGAATGCGAACAACCCCAGCCGGACCTTTACAAGTGAGTAATACACACATATACAGTATCAGCAGTAAACGCATAAACAAACCCTTGCTTTCTCTTACAAACACACACTATGCATAGGACTACTGTTGCTGCATGACACAAGCATACCACACACTCCAGATACCCCACACAAATATTCTCACATGGTGTCTTAACTACACACACACACACACACACACACACACACACACACACACACACACAAAGCCCAGACTAGTCATTAATTTCTGTCTTTTCTTCCTCTCCCGCTGTAGATTTGTGGGACGCATCAATATTTATTTGGATCGTGACGAACCTATCGCGAGGTAAATCTATACTCAGGAAATTGACTCTTAATTAAAGGGCCAGTGTGTGAAAGATTGAATTCAGGAGGGACAATTTATCATTTTCATAGAACAGCTCTCTCTTCCAATTCTGATTCTTACGAAAGAAATGTTCCCATTCAGATTTCCTTGCAGTCCACTCTAACTTTTAATAAACAATTTTGTATTTTGGTACAAATATGTAAGTAAATGTAATGAAATATTATATATTTCATGTTATATAATAGATAATAATGCAAATATTGGTATCTTGGTGCACTTCAAATATGCAAATATGTTCATAAATATAGTATTTAAAATAAAATAAAAAATAAATAATATTTATGATTGTATATTGCATTTTAAATACTGCAACGACTGCATTATAATATAATATATTTAGGCAGCTTCACACATATTTATTTTCATATTTAATTCATGAATATAAAGTTAGTTGACACATAACATGAATGTTTTAGGTTACATGTATATATGCATACACTGTATAAGGTAAAGTGTATATTTCATTGCTTTTACTGGTCACCATTTCTTTTAATTTTCCATTTCCAATTACCATTCAATCACCTTTTTTTACCTTAATTTTTATTTAAAAGGGCCCTGCAGTGTGACTTTGCACTACAGTGTGTTCACTGTCAAAAGATGTGAGCATAATTTGTTCATCTTTGTAATGCTCAATTTGATCTTGTTTGATTATTTTAGACCCCTGGGTTCTGAGAACCTGCTGCTGCGTGGAGCCACACTGAAAAACACTGAATACATACATGGTAATAAAAACCACACTATATATTTACATATCATTTAAGCGCATGCTCATTTATATTTATGCATTTGGCAGACACTTTATCCTGAACATCATGCGGCGCATTCAAGGTATATGTTGTGTTCCTTCGGAGCGCTGTTTGCATTTAGTCTAAACCTACTGATGTCAATGATGCCAAGATCTATCACTATAACCCGGTACAATGCATATGTGATCAGTTTTTTAGGCAAAAGGCAGGGCAGGAGAATGAGAGAAGAGTTGCTGGTTGAGTCATTTTGTCACTCTGTTCCCACTGTAATTAAATGAGTCACTGAAGCTTGTGAGATCAGAGAGAAGTTCTTAATTGCTAGAGAGAGAGAGTGAGAGAAAGGGGCGAGAGAGGGAGATGAATGTCACATTATACACGTGAGGATTCTAAGTGCAGGGCAAGCTCTAAAAATGTTTAACTTTGTTCCAGCGGAGCCATTATGCCTTACCGTACGGTAAGACAAAAGAGCTCAGTTATGTAACAACGGGTTTCACATTGTCATAATATCAAAGAGGCTGTATAGAGATGTTCATAAGAGAATTATGTTCTCAAAATGCTCTTCGTCTTCTCTTGTTTCTCTAGCTGTGGCCATCTACACAGGCATGGAAACCAAGATGGCCCTCAACTACCAGTCCAAGTCTCAGAAACGCTCCGCTGTTGAAAAGTAAGACACGATGATAGTCTTTTGATCGGTTTATCTTGCATGTACAGTGTAATGCGTTTAGTGTCCGTTTTGTAAAGCAAATTGCAAGCGTCTGTATTTGTTGTCACGAATCGTATCAAGTTGTGCTCATATGTGTCTCGCTGACAATTCTGTCAGATAGATAAATGCAGCCATTAAGAAAATACATAAAATCTGTTTATATTGAATAAGCAGGTGTACTTTCAGAGATCTTCTTTCAAAAGTTTGGATAACATTGACTTTTTCGATCAAATCTATGCTGATTTTTTTTTTTTAGACCTTAATTTAATATTATAGATGTCATTCGGACAGGATACGAGACTCTCAGGGAAAGTTATTGCGGATGGATTTCGTCACCCTGATGTAGTATGATACGTGTCTGTATAATTAGCTCCATAAATGATTATGCATATACTATATGGGTCTGAGATCATCTCATCGCTGTTTGTCCTGCAGGTCAATGAATGCCTACCTGATTGTGTACCTCTGCATTCTGATCAGCAAAGCTCTGATCAATACGCTCCTCAAGTACGTCTGGCAGGCCGACCCAAACCGAGATGAGCCCTGGTACAACCAGAAAACTGAGACCGAGAGGCAACGGCATGTAGTACGTGCTATTATTATAAAAATGTATTTTATTTTTAGTTATAATTTATTATAGTTTATTTTATTATAATTTATTATATGTTTATTGTTTACAAATTAAAATGGAGATAGTTATAATATTTAATAATTTAATATAGAAATTTCTAAATATAAAATATTGTGTACTACTATGTTTATATATATATATACAATACACACACATACACACACACACACACACACACACACACACACACACTATATATATATATAGTATATATATACACTGTATGTATATATTGTATGTATATATATATATACTGTATATGTATATATATATACTGTATATATATATTCTGTATATACATATATATATATATTAGGGCTGTCAAATGATTAATCACGATTAATCACATCCAAAATAAAAGTTTTTTTTACATAATATATGTGGGTGCACTGTGTATAATTATTTTGTATATATATAAATACACACACATGCATGTATATTTAAGAAAAAAATATTATTTATATATAAAATATTTATATATAATATAAATTATATATAAATCTATATACAGTATATACATGAAAATATTTCTTAAATATATACAAGCATGTGTGTGTATTTATATATATAAAATAATTATACACAGTGCACCCACATATATTATGTAAAAAAAAACTTTTATTTTGGATGTGATTAATCACGATTAATCATTTGACAGCCCTAATATATATATATATATATATATATTACTAACTATATTTTATACTTTCATATTATTAACACAAAGCAAAACAAATTTTCAAAATGAAACTCGAACTATTTAATTCCCATCATTTGTCTCCTCAGTTAATCCGGGCATTCACAGATTTCCTGGCCTACATGGTTCTGTTCAACTACATCATTCCCGTGTCCATGTACGTTACCGTGGAGATGCAGAAGTTCTTGGGCTCGTACTTCATCCTGTGGGACGATGACATGTTTGATGAGGAGCTCGGAGAGCGACCGCTCGTCAATACCTCAGATCTTAATGAGGAACTTGGACAGGTGCGAAACCATTTCAGTACATTTCAAACCTGTCCGGGTCAATATTTGTTCACTCTCTCTTTTATTGCCTTCTCCATTACAGGTGGAATATGTCTTCACAGACAAGACTGGCACTTTGACAGAAAATAACATGGAGTTGAGGGAATGCTGTGTGGACGGGCATGTGTATGTGCCGCATGCCATCTGTAACGGGCAGATCTTACCTGGAGCTGCAGGAATGGACATGATCGACTCCTCTCCGGGCATAGATGGAAAGGTGAGCTTGTTGTTTGTTTCCATAACTGCTGTTTAGCAGGGATTTGGACATGTGGACAATGATTTCTGAAGGATCATGTGACACTGAAGACTGGAGTAATGACGATGAAAATGCAGCTTAGCATCACAGAATAGATTTTAAAATAGATTCAAATAGAAAACAGTCATTTAAAATTGTAATAATATTTCCCAATTTAACTGTTTGTACTGTATATGTTTGATTGAATAAATGCAGCCTTGCTGAGCATAAAAACATCTTTCAAAAAAAAAAAAAAAAACCAAAGTAACTTGAACCAAAGTAACTGTCTTACAGTAGTCCAAAAAAAAAAGTATTTGTACAAACTAAAAAAAGAAAGAAAGGAAAATCATTAAAATATTAAACCAAATATCATTTAAAACAAACAGATTTGTCTATATTTGCTAACATTTTAGCCATCTGGTTTTAACCCTCTGGGGTCGGCGGTCTCGCCGGCGATACCAGCTCACTTTTTTCCTTATCAGTGCAAAAGAGACTCAAATTACTCTGTTGATTTTGATCTTACATATAAGTGTTGTACATCATTCGATCCTGTTAAGTTTGTATTTTTTTTTGTGGAACCTCATAATAAAAACAAAGTGTTGTGCTTTTCGCCTAATAAAGAAAAATAAACATGATGCGCGTTCTGCGTTCTCTCTGTCAGTGAAGTCCATTCTGAAACGCGTCCGAAAAATCAACTGTAACTCTGCAAATACTCAGTCAAACAAGTATACAGGCACACAGGCATGAAGCCTGAATTATCTTCTTTTAAATGAAGTAATTTATATAAAAAACAAATTTTCTCATTTTATGTAATCTGTACGAAAAGAGAGAGATGATAGTCGTTCTCGTCTCAGCTCATTAAAGTTAATTTGACCACGCCCACGGAGCGCGCGCTCTATTCAAACACAAATGCTCTGAGGCGATCCACGCCCACATCAGCTGGATAACCCACCGAAAGAGACTCAGATTTACGACGCTGTGAGGAATAATAGTACTATCTTAATAATAATCCTGGAAAAAATTACCTCAGAAGTAGGCTACAGGTAGTTTCATTTGGAGGAGCAACGGATCCAGCCGAGGAAATAGGTACATTCTTTATTTTCAAGTGCTTTGTGCTAATCGCGATATGGAATAGTGTCTGTAAACCAAAAGACTGTTTGAATCGCGTTTTTGTGTGTGAATGAATGAACAGCTTTTACCTAACTATATTCCAATACTGAGATGAGTAAAAATCGACTGAAATATGTTGAAATAAAATATTTTTGTATAAGCAACGTATTAAACTGCAAATTAACATTTATATGTCCTAATCATAAAAACGATATGTTACATATGAAAGACAAGATGCCGTTTTTACTGTAAAATACTGCCACATCAAATAAGCTTGTTTGCTAAGATGTTATTATAGTGTTTGTTCGATTGTAGGCTATATTCAAACTAATTAATCCGCAACTGTGAAATATGTGATAAAATGTATACTTTAGTATATAATACAAAGAAAGATTACATTTGAAATATAGTTAAAATTTTAATTGTTGTTGTAATTGTAACCTTTTTATTAAAATAGCAAAAATATATGTAGGCTACATATAAATAAATCTTAGGTAAATCTTAAAAGCCCAATATAAGCCTCCTCTTTAAATTATTTGTATTGTGTTTTATTAGTGACACATTTGGGATACATTCCCAAACTTTCTGTAAAAACAGTATGATAATTAACTGCACAATTACTAGAAATTTTTACATTTGATATTATACAATTTGCAAGCACAATTTGAAAAATAAATAAATAATTGGAACTGTGAACCAATTTTGTATTATATAGGCATATATATATATATATATATGTATTGTCATTGCATTCTTGTGGCTCAGTGACACACCTGAATGAAAGGGTCATTAGTATGCAGCTCATTATGCGGGGCCATTGTCTTCTCAGGTGTGAATCACAGCAGGTCACACATTTTTAAATTTAAACCAATCTATTGTTTTATGTGAATGATAAGGCAGGATGATTTTCAGATCATTTTGAAGAAAAAACTCTAGGCGACAACATCCATTAGTCAAAAGTCTTGTGGACACATATTTAGTATGTGTTTTGTGGCCTTATTTCAGAAACTTTAAGTTTTAGTTTTTTCAATAACCACGCATAAACAATATTCTCTCAAAAATACAAAAATGTACATACATGTTGATAACACATTATGGTAGCCCTGTTTGTGCTAAATAGAGTGTAATTACACCTTTGCCAGTAATATGTTTATAAGCAACTGAAAAAAGCACAAATGTCAGAGTATGTCAAAACATCTCAAGGACCCCAAAAACACCTTGGACCCCAGAGGGTTAATGTGATTTGTATACATTTAATGAAAGAAGCTAAAGAAGCTATAAAAACTTTTGGACAAGATGAGAGAATGTTATTATCAATAGCTAGTTATGTGTCATTGCACAGATAAATCATGTTATCACCAAGGCAAGTTTTTGCATGAATATTTTAGCTGTGGATGGGTGGAGTGATGGATGTATTCTAATTTTATCTTTGAGTGATGTGACACATTAATGCTGAAGATTAACTAAAACATTTATTAAAGAATTTGTTAACTCGAATTTCACCTCACATCTCTTGTCAGTTGTATTTTTGACTGTGATTTGTGAATAATGGATAAACTCAGTTTGCTCATTCAAATAAGATTCTGTTAGGATAATATTGTGTGCACGTGCATGAAGTGAAATATCAGAGTTCAGTGTTGTTGAGATCTTTAATGTCTGCTTGTATCAAATGTATCCAAATATTTACTGGATACATGGGTATATTGACTGCATTTTGTTCGGAGTTAGACACAGACACTCTCTCTCTCTCTCTCTCTCTCTCTCTCTCTGTTTTCCTTTCTTCTGGTGTGTGAGAAAACAGATTAATGATTCTGTTCTTCTGAGCTGACTTTTAAGTAAATGTAGTGTCACATAACCCGTGTGTGTACTGTACACTACTGGTCAAAAGTTTGTAATATTTAAAGACTGTTTAATGTTTTTGAAAGACGTCTATTATGCTCACCAAGGCTGCATTTATTTTATCAAAAGCACAACAGTAATGTGAAATATTATTACAATTTAAGTTTAAAAGAACTGTTTTGACCAAATCATCATATCAGAATGATTTCTGAAGGATCATGTGACACTGAAGACTGGAGTAATGATGCTGAAAATCCAGCTTTACATCACAGGAATAAATTACTTTCTAAAATATATTGAAATAAAAAAAGTTATTTTAAATTGAAACAATATTTCACAGTTTTTACTGTATTTTTTATCAAATAAATGTAGCCTTGGTGAGCAGAAGAGATTTATTTTTCTAGTATTACATTTAATACAGTATATTACTGTTTTTGCTTTAGGAATTGGGAACTCTTTGTAGCAAAAGTTTTGTACACCGTATTTCAGGGGAAACATTTAGGTCTTCTTGAAATTATCAGGGATTTAGAACCAATTGTCTTGTTAATCTCTCGTAGGGTGGTGTCATTTCTGACTCTTGGTGTGTGTGTGTCTCATCAGGAGCGAGAGGAGCTGTTTTTCCGTGCATTGTGCCTGTGTCACACAGTCCAGGTGAAGGAAGAGGAGACGGTGGATGGCATTAAGAGAGGAATCCATCAGGGCAAATCCACCTCCTTCTACATATCCTCCTCTCCAGACGAGGTTGCGCTGGTGGAGGGAATGAAAAGGCAAGACACATGCATGCATAAACTCATAAACATGCACTCACACCTACACACTTTATAAAACTATATGGTAACACTTTACAATAAGATCTCATTTGTTAACTTCATTAGTTAACACAACCTAACAATGAGCAATATATTCTTACAGCATTTATTAAAGGTAGGGTAGGCAATTTCGGAAAGGCTAGCGATAGCAAGCTAGCATTGAAAGTTTGAGATCCCACCCCCTCCTTTAGAGCGCTCGACGAAGCCACACCTCCTTCAAAACACATGAATGTGTACAGCAGAGTCTGCAAAGCATCACAAGACGAGAAACAGCGTTAAATTACCTCATGTCTCAAACCATGTAACATTACAATAATTACAGAGCTCTTACTTGGACCAACTGACTGCTGCAGATTCATTTTGGCGTTGATAGTGTTGACACAGAAACGCATAAATCCGAGTCTGAGGACGTGAACCGCTCCGGGTAGAACGTCACGGGTTAACATCTCATAATTACGGTTACGACATGGTGTGAACCCAGCATAAGCTCGTTGTTTTGGTTCAGGAGGAACTGTAAAATGCGGCTGCTGTTTGTTCATGGAGCTCGGTGACTGTCTACCACTGCATATCCTTACTGAACGCGCTGATGATGTGTGATGTCTGTGTGGGCAGGGTGTTGCGGAGGTATGGAAATACATATGTTGACAGGCAGATGAGACATCCTATCATTGCATTCGGACCAAATGCATTGATCGGACTGACATTTTTTTGGTCCTGAGACATCCACAAAGATATATGTACATGTTTTAATATTTAGACCACTTCTATTATTGATTGCTATCATGATGTGAAGAGAGTTTCAACCAGTATAACAAAAAGTGTTTATAAAAAAATTGCCTACCCTACTTTTAACCTTTGTTAATGTTAATAAAAAATTTTAGGTTAGTTCAAAAGTGCATTAACTAATGTTAACTGACATAACTTTTGGTCTTAAAACATATGTTAGTAAATTTTGAGATTAACATTAACTAAGATTAATAAATGCTGTCAAAGTTGTTGTGCGTTTGTTATATTTGTAAATGTCTTCATTAGATTTTCAAAGAAAAGTTGATTCATTATGACATGAGCCCAATAAGAAACAAATAAGAAACAGAGCTGACTTTCTCTTTCTCTCACCTGCTCAGGTTGGGCTTCACCTATCTCCGTCTGAAGGACAGTCACATGGAGATCCTTAACAGAGATGATGAAATGGAAAGGTGAGCCATCTGGACAACAGCATGAGCGCAATGACCAACAGGAAACTAGCAGCATTCTGATGTCTTTTAGACAGTCTGAGGAAGGGTTTTTTAAATAGTTTGTAATAGTGTTATTAAAATAATAGTAAAATGAATACAATACTATAAAAGTAAAATATTAATAGAAGAATATGTTTAAATATAGATTTGCATATGATAATTAACATGTTATATTAATACTTATATTATATAATACTTATAATTACTTATAAATATAATAATAAGTATGCAGACATATATATATATATATATACACTCACCTAAAGGATTATTAGGAACACCTGTTCAATTCCTCATTAATGCAATTATCTAATCAACCAATCACATGGCAGTTGCTTCAATGCATTTAGGGGTGTGGTCCTGGTCAAGACAATCTCCTGAACTCCAAACTGAATGTCAGAATGGGAAAGAAAGGTGATTTAAGCAATTTTGAGCGTGGCATGGTTGTTGGTGCCAGACCGGCCGGTCTGAGTATTTCACAATCTGCTCAGTTACTGGGATTTTCACGCACAACCATTTCTAGGGTTTACAAAGAATGGTGTGAAAAGGGAAAAACATCCAGTATGCGGCAGTCCTGTGGGCGAAAATGCCTTGTTGATGCTAGAGGTCAGAGGAGAATGGGCTGACTGATTCAAGCTGATAGAAGAGCAACTTTGACTGAAATAACCACTCGTTACAACCGAGGTATGCAGCAAAGCATTTGTGAAGCCACAACACACACAACCTTGAGGCGGATGGGCTACAACAGCAGAAGACCCCACCGGGTACCACTCATCTCCACTACAAATAGGAAAAAGAGGCTACAATTTGCAAGAGCTCACCAAAATTGGACAGTTGAAGACTGGAAAAATGTTGCCAGGTCTGATGAGTCTCGATTTCTGTTGAGACATTCAGATGGTATAGTCAGAATTTGGCGTAAACAGAATGAGAACATGGATCCATCATGCCTTGTTACCACTGTGCAGGCTGGTGGTGGTGGTGTAATGGTGTGGGGGATGTTTTCTTGGCACACTTTAGGCCCCTTAGTGCCAATTGGGCATCGTTTAAATGTCACGGCCTACCTGAGCATTGTTTCTGACCATGTCCATCCCTTTATGGCCACCATGTACCCATCCTCGATGGCTACTTCCAGCAGGATAATGCACCATGTCACAAAGCTCGAATCATTTCAAATTGGTTTCTTGAACATGACAATGAGTTCACTGTACTAAAATGGCCCCCACAGTCACCAGATCTCAACCCAATAGAGCATCTTTGGGATGTGGTGGAACGGGAGCTTCGTGCCCTGGATGTGCATCCCACAAATCTCCATCAACTGCAAGATGCTATCCTATCAATATGGGCCAACATTTCTAAAGAATCCTTTCAGCACCTTGTTGAATCAATGCCACATAGAATTAAGGCAGTTCTGAAGGCGAAAGGGGGTCAAACACAGTATTAGTATGGTGTTCCTAATAATCCTTTAGGTGAGTGTATATATATATATATATATATATAGACACACACACACACACACACACACACACTTGTGGATTTTAAATTATTTTTGCATATAATTAAAAAAAAAAACATTTAACTTCATACCACTAGCACTAGCAGTGCTGCTAACACCCCCTGTGGTGACTGCAGCTTTAATTTTCTTGTCATGCTATGTAATTTTCCCACATGTGGTGTGAGAAAGAAACCTCAGCAGAGGAACAGTTTGATCTGTAATCATCTGTGTATTTACTCAGCAGGTTGTCATATTAATATAGTTGTGTGTTTATTAAAATAACACTGTTATACAGTATGTTTTGGGAAGCAGTGAAGTTTTCCTGTTCAGTGTGTGTGTGTGTGTGTATGCCCTTGAAGGACAAGGATCAGCCATAATTAGTGCAGCTACACACTGTCCTACTGCTGAGAACATGAGGGTCAGCACAGTCACATAAAAACTCTATCTGTCTGTGATAAAGATGCATCCCAAAGGATCCAGTCAGCGCCTCTGATTTATCTGTACATAGGTATCCTTTTAAATCGAAATACTTCCTACGTTATCTGGTTGTGTTTATGCATTCACAGATTTGAGCTGTTGGAAGTATTGAACTTTGATTCAGTGAGGAGGAGAATGAGTGTAATCGTAAGATCAAGCTCAGGTATGATGAAAACACACACACACACACACACACACACGCACGATCACATTACATAAATGTACTTTATATACTATTACTGTTTTTAAACCACTTTTTACACATGAAGATGTAGCTCGCATCTGGGTACAAATATTTCCCCAAAATTAAGTAGGTACACACAGATACACACACAAATTTACAAATCTAAATGAGGACGTGTCGTACACTTGAGTTGTTTTTATATAAAGCTAAATATAATTATTATATATTGTTATAAACTATAGGAAACCTTGATGCCTTTTTCTAATATATAAAAATATAATGTCAGTTTAACATGTTAATGTTAGTGTGATTTATTATTTAAAGTCCCTGTAAAGTAAAAATTAAGTATGTGTTCTGAGTTTGTCACACCACAGAAAAATGTGTTATTAGCCACCCAGACAAATTTGAATGATAAAAAAAAGCTGGCAAGTACATAAAATAAGCTATCAAAATCTTGAAAAAATGAGCAGTATTCTCTGCTCTCAAACGCTGGGGGCGTGTCCGCTGGCTGCGCTGAAACCACGCCCACTCGCGGGAAAGCAGCCGACGGTGATATTTGTGATACTGCTTTCGGGACGGGGAGATGAAGGCCGAGGCGGGAGATAGTCGGTTCGGCCCCATTCCCCTGTAACAGCGGATTATCAGTGAATCCCAGTTGTCTCCGACGAAAGTTTATAAAACTATCCTGTGTAAAATGATCGCTACAGAGGCGGGTGTTGGTGGTGGTCCTCAGCTCTCCATCAAGGTTGGCTCTTCACAAAATTAATCCACCTCTTCTTGATGTGATCGTTTTCAGGAAATTTAAATAAAGACACCGATCTGTTTTGTACATGATCGCATCCAGGTAGTAGCCTACGCATTTCCGTGTCGAAGGCATAGCTAGCTAGCAAACTCTAGGCTGTAGTAACTAATAGTACTGACAGTAACTCACGATTGAGCGGCGAACTGATGCGAATGTGCTCTATTGTTAGGGGAGGGGCCAGCCTCAGTGCGTCATCAAGTAGGGGCGTGTCCAAGAGCTCAGGGGCTCCAGTGCGTCATCGAGCCCCGTTTTAGCCCCGCCCAAAAAATCCGGAAAATAGCAATGGTGAAAAACTGTTTAACGGTCTAACTCCACAATTCAGTAATTCACAGTTCACAGTCTTTGTAATATGTTTTAGCAATACATTTCTAACATTTATAATGGGTTTAGATTTTTTTTTTTAGCATTGCCTTTACAGGGACTTTAAAAAGTGATCAAAATTGAAAAGTTAATCATGCCTCCTGATCAGTAATCTAATCCCATACTTTTATACAGTTATGTTTAATGAAATACAAATAAAACAAACAATATATTAACTTATAAAGGGGCTTAGTCTATTTTTTGTTTTATTCTGCCACAATAATGTAGTCTTTGAATTATCTCTACAAATATTGATATATTGGTTTATATTAGATTCATTTGATAAATTGTTCTGCAAATAATGTAATTAATTTTATTTGAATTTTTAGAGATTTTTAGAGATTGGCAGCCCTAATTATTCACTTAATTTATGAAGGATTTTCCCATCTGAGAACATACCCAAAGGGATTTAGCTAACGTCTGGGGATAATTTTGTACTCAAATCATTGCTGAGTAAACACTCACGCACACACACACACACACACACGCGCGCGCGCGCGCACGCACAAACACACTCATTCTGGAACAGCAAGTGACTGTTGAACATTCCAGTGAAAGTGTCTGAGTCACCATGTGTGCCCAAATTGAGGAGCCAGTTAATGCAAGTGGGTCAGTGTGCTACTAGCATACAAACGAGAGTTAGATTTAACATCTGTATGACTCCTGAATACATTCAGTCACATACAATTGACCTGATAACTACTCTTTTAATTAAAAAAATTAAGATAATCTTGAATACACTGAGAACCTGACAGCATAACTAATATGCTAATTTAAAACAATGAAATGATGCTCGTGACCAATTTTACTTCCATATTGTGATGTATGATAGTTTTTCAGAGAGAAACAGGATATAAAATAGGGTACATTTTTATTTCATGTTGACTTTAAGCATTTTTGCTACAATTATGAATTAAAGGGATAGTTCACCCAAAAAAATTGTAATTCTCTTATTTACTTTCCTTCATGCAATCCCCAATGTAAATGACTTTCTTTCTTCAGATAAACACTAACAAAGATTTTCCTGAAAATAATCCATCTCTGCGAGTCCATATAATGCCATTGAATGGGTGGCGTTCATTTGACCCTTGGAAAACCACACAAAGCGTTCATGATGGTAATCTGTACAACCCCAGTCAGTGGATGAATCAATAGCTGCGTTTACATGGACCCTAATAATCCGATTGTAATCGGACTACTAGCACATTCGGAATCAAAAAGTCACATGCAACCATGTCAATTAAAAAGACGTGGTTTACACCTTTTCTAATCTGATCGAGAGGACATGTTTACACTTGATGGGATTGAAAAATGAAACGCGAGTTGCGCATGTGCAATGACGTAGAAATGGTGTAATGATGTATGAAAAGAGTGAAAAGAGCTGTTGTTGTTGAAGTATCACAAATGACTATCGTGTCATTCTAAAATGTTCCTTCACTCATCGTTTGTGAAGTGCATACCTTGAGCCCTTGTTTCGGACTCTCATCCAGCTACATTAGCCTGACTTCGTCATACTCATATTCTAGTCAGAATGTGAGTCTGATACTGCTCTATAGGGCTTTGATTATGAGGTGTGTCTTAACCGAACCAGGAAAAAAAAACTCTGCACTCAATTGGATAGACCTACAACCAATGAGAGCAACGCAGTAAGTTAACTACTTTGCATAGCACAGTTGTCAACTACAGAACTCAAATGCGTGTTCTGTCAAACGAGTGTTGCTTCTTTTACTTGGTCCTCAATGAGTGCGACCAAAGGAGAAACCACAACGACCACAGGGTTTTCATTGCGTCCCATCTTCTTAGTGACCATCGGAGCCAGCTGATAAATTAAACTTTTGCCGAATCCCGTAGGAAGGACGGCAAACACATCTTTCCGATCGACAAATGCCTTGATTGCAGTTCTCTGTTCGTCTATTAAAATGAATGCGCTGTCGATTTCTTTTACAACAGACGCGATAGCGGAATCTCTACATCTCAGTTCTCCAGCGGCAGTCATCTGTGAGGGGAACCAGTTAAGCGCTCTTTGATAACGTGATGATTACGTCCCTGCAGATCATCTGTCCATCATCGTATAAAGCCCGCCCTGGCAATTTGATTGGCCCGAACATTTTTTGACTGATCATAATTACTCCTCAATGGAGCGAGTCCAGACCGAACTTCCAGACCAAAAAATGTTGTGGGCGGGGTTCGGGCTGGCATCCAGGCTACAGACACCTTGTTTTGGGCACTTGTTTGGCTTAGTTTTTACTGCTTGATAAATATAAGCAGAACAATTCACACGCACGTCAACCTGATCACTGTATTTAACGTTCATGTAAACACTTTGTTTGGTTTAATCAATCGGAATTAATTAATTCAGATTGAAATAAAAGGTGTCCATATAAACGTAGCTAATGTCTTCTCAAGCAAAACGATAGGTGTAAGAAAAATGCTAAAATATTGCACTCTTTTAACTATAAACTATCGCTTCCAGCCAACTGTCCCAGGTGCATTCACAAGTTCAAGTTTTTTTCCTCACACACCTATCGTTTCGCTTCAGAAGACATTGGTCCATCCACTGGGGTCGTATGGATTACCATCACAAGCGTTTTGTGTGGTTTTTGAAGTGTCAATCGAGCGGCACCTATTCGATGGCATCATATGAACTCAAAGAGATGGATTATTTTCTTAAAAATCTTTGTTTGTGTTTATCTGAAGGAAAGTCATATACATAAGGGATGGCATGAGGGTGAGTAACCCAGATAGCACAAGTCTATTTGATGTGATGTTTACATCTGGAAGACGTATTTTTAAGAGCGTTTGTTCATCTGCAATACGTCTATAGGAACGTTTCCTGTCAGATATCAAATAGACGTTTAACATGCATTCTAAATCATTACATCTTAAAGACATCTTCTAAACATCTATTTGACATCTGACAGAAAACGTCCTATAGACGTATTGCAGATGAGCAAACACTCTTAAAAATACGTCTTCCAGATGTAAACATCACATCAAATAGACTTGTGCTATCTGGGAAATGATGAGAGAATTTTCAGAACTATCCATTTAATACCTATTATGAAATTATTGAAAGCATGCAATACCTGGTGTTGTACAGTTTCTTCTTCTAGTTGTATGTGTTCATAATTGTTTGTTTGTTCTAGGAGAGTACTACTTGTTCTGTAAAGGTGCAGATTCCTCTATTTTCCCACGGGTGGTTTCTGGGAAGGTGGAGCAGGTCAGAGCGCGAGTAGAGCACAACGCTGTGGTGAGCAGAAATCGGAAACATCTTCATCTTCTTTCTTATTTTAGCAGAGCTATTAATAGGCCACAAAAGCACCTTTTTTAGATCTTGGTGTAAAAAAGCTCCTCTCAGATGTGTTTGCTTGTGCAACTTGTTCAGCATGAGCATCATCTTCAAAATAAAGGCTGAAAGAGAAAAGTACCTACAGTACAAGCATCACAGAAAATGAGAAAGAAACCAGAAAGTCTTTATTGCCTTTCTATGTATGCATTTGCAAACTGCAGCCCAACTCTGTTCTCATTAGCTTTCCTATTACAACTGTTATTAGTTTAATATCTCTATGTAACTTTATAGCACCAGAAGTCATTTGTACTTTTTGCTGTTTATAATCTAATGAATATAATTATCTTAAACATGTCAAATATATGAAACTGTTTAAAGAAAAATTATATAACTATGGTCCCAGGCATAAGGAATGGATCTAATGTTATAGACTGACACAGCTCTATGTTACTTCATTATGTTACTCACAGACCTGTGTCAGGAATTACATCACTTTAGAAAGGGTTTGGTTGTACTGGCATTCGTGCTGATTCATGACTTTGGTAGCAGTAGTGAAAATGTTTCTCTAGAGGCGAATCTTTGTTCTAAAGACAGAATGAAGGAGCTCAAAATGACAGTTCTATCAGTTGTGTTTTATTAACAGTCATAATGGGAACTTTTCAACTAGAGCATTTTTCCATTCAATAATCTACATTTCAAAGGGTTTGTTCAACAACTGAAAATTGTGTCATTTACTCACCATCATGTAGTTTTAAACCTGTATAGGGCTTTTCACACTTGAAATAGTCAATCCTGGGTTATTCTAAACTGTAGGGAAACAGAATCCTGGGTTATCCTGAGTTATCTTCATGTTTCACACTGCTCATACTTTACCAGGGGTTAACAATTAATCCTGGGTATTCATAAGATACTGTTTCACACCCTACATTCCTAAACCCGTCCTATTTGCATATTTGCATTGTCATTGCCATTGATTGGAAGAACGCAGTGACCTGTTTATATAAAAGCTCGTCCTCATATTATACATTGCCGACTGTACTATCAAGTACCCCGGGTAAAAATCAGTGCTAACCCCGCTTCTAAATTACAAGCGTGAAATGTGAAAACCTGGGGTTTAGAAGGACGGTAAGCCGGCGTTAAGTCCAGTGTGAAAAGCCCTTATGACTTTCTTTCTTACATGGAAAATTAAATGTTTTTCAGAATGTTCATGCTGCTATTTTGCATACAACTAAAGCAAGTCAAGTTTCAAAAAAGACAACCAAAAAAACTGCTTTTTTTGGAGCTTGACAGCTTGTGGTCAACACATGATTGATTCTATGGAAAAGAGCAGCGTGAGCACTCTGCAAAATATTATTGTTTTACCACAGAAGAAAGAAAGTCACAAAATTGGAACAATACAAGTGTGAATAAATAATGTCAACATTTAATTTCTCTTTGCATTGGTATTGTTCTTTCCTTTTATGTTGTGTAAACCTATATTTAGTTATATCTAAGATTAATGCTGTTTTGGGACAAAGAATGAAATCTGGAGTTGAATTTGGTCTCTTTTTGCAAACGAATGGACCTGGTAGGCTAAGCTGACAACTTGTTTTCAAATCCTGGAAGGCTAAGCTGACAACTTGTTTCAAATCTTTCCCTTGTAGGAGGGTTTACGGACTCTCTGTGTGGCTTATAAGAAGCTGACTCATGAGGAGTATGAGAAAACGTGCCATCTCCTCAACAGCGCTAAACTAGCTCTGCAGGAGCGTGACAAGAAACTGGCTGAAGCTTATGATGTCATCGAAAAGGATTTCATCCTGCTGGGAGCCACGGCTGTGGAAGATAGGTGAATCGCTGCCTCCTAAGTTTGATTGACTTGTTTAAAAATTCTTGTACTGAAGTGAATCAAACTTTCCATTTCAAAGTTCACAAATTAACAGAAGCTGACTGACTGGAATCCAAACCATTTCATTGTTCAGTATTCCCTTGTCAAATCCAGAATGCAAATACTAATAACTCTGCCACTAAGATACAGTGGGATCCAAATGTCAACCCAGGTTTTATTTTGCATTTTGTAGTTAAATAGATTGTTTGTTGATGGTATTTGCATAACAATTTGAGTGAAATGTTTATTTGAAATAATACCAAGTATTGTTATCCAGCATCATTTGAAAACGTGCTTTTATTAACAAATTATCAAGTGTGCATTATAGTTTGAGGCAATAAACAACAACTCAGTATTGCTCTCCAGCATGATTTGAGAATGATCCAAAGAGAATCTTGTGTTTCAGTGGAAGCAAGAACATGTGACTTCTTAAATAGTAGCCTAAAAATAGCCCAGAATCAAATATTTTCTGTTTATTTTAAACCCTAGTGTACATTCCCAGAAATTGACAACACTTTGTAACTACACTGGAGTCGCTATAGAGAATCAGGGAACGGTTCATTTTATCAGGCTTTAAGTCCTTCATCTATGTGCTCTAAATATGCAGATTACTCTCCCATTCCCTCATGCTCCAACCCGCTGCACCGTCAAAAAATCCATAGTGTCGGGATATATGGAACCATGACGTCTGAAGCATTTCTGAGCAAGTCCGATATGGCTTTCCAGTGTTTATGTTGCCAAGTAAAAACATCAGCATGTTAATAATAACCTTGTGTTTTCAAAAAAGTGCATCATGCATTTCGCTAAGTAAACAAGAATCGTTGTACATTTTCCCGAAATGAAATTGATCATAAATGTGCATTAGCAGTATTAGATTTTTAACTGGCTGAATGCCAAGGTTCCGATTGGCCCAATAACTGGGTGGGAGAGTTACAGGTCCGGCGTCCAGTTGAAGCGCACGTGAGCACCCGCGGTCCTGGCAGAACCAGTGTGAGTTAACGTTAATTGCACAGGCAATCAATAGAGTCCATCCATTAGGCTCCAGTGTCCTGATAATGAGCAGCTAACGTAATTAGACCCCCTCTTGAATCAATCGGGGGCCGGCAGACGCGGATCTGATGAACCACTGTTTTGGCTTATGCACTTATGGAGGCCATCCAACCCAACGTTATAAATAAACACATCAATCCATGTCGACCGCCTTAATGAATATGACAGAGCAAACAAATAGTGATTACTGGACGGGAACTTATTTTGTCAGGCCGTGTTAATTAGATGCAATCACTGCCCCGTAGGCACCAGCCTGTTTGTGTCTCCAAGAGGTCACTCAAGATGATGTGTTGCAGTCAAAAATTCACGAAGCTAATTTGATAAGTCATCGCTGACTGTTTGTAACAGGATTGAAAACAATATGCAAGAAACATTCTTACTCAACATGAAAAGGCAAATGCAAACATTAGTGACCACGCCTTTTCCTTTTCCAAATTCCCATTGTTTAGCGATATATGAAGCACAACTGACACAGAAGTCACTTTCGAACTGAAAGCCGCTTTCTGTTGTTCAATGCAACGGATTCATGTATTTAAGATTGAAACATATATATATATATATATATATATATGATATAGATATAGACATTCAACAAGAAAAAAATTAGAAGGACTTTTTATCTGTTGAGAATTCATAGAGAAAAGTGGATGTTCAGTACGAGAATAGAGCCTGACTTGAATGTAAGACTGCAGTGGATTGTAGAGGGGATATAATTAATGTTACATAAGTTTTAACCTGCATTAAATTACTGCTAACTATTGCCAAGATTTTAGAAAGGCTGCATTAGCTAACAGTTGCCTAAAACAATGTCTAAAATGGCTATATTATTTCCCCGCCCACTTGGCCTATAGGTGACATAATTTGAAAAGGAAAGTCATTTCAAAGGTGGAGCATGTTATTATGAAGACAAATTGTTTGTTTTTTCACAATGAAGTGCATGAATCATGCTCAATAATTTTGCTTTCACACTGTCAGTGACTTTGGCGCTGTATGTTGCCAATGGCTGGTGGTGAGTTCGATAGTGAGCGTTTTCCATCACTGTGACATTCACCGATGTTATTCCACCAAATCAGTTTTCTTGCTGCTGAAAAACAATGATTTTGGAGGGAAAATACTACTATTGGTACACAGAATACTAATATTAAAGATGAACGAGAAACAGCGAGTGCTCTTAGCCATCGTGGCTTTTAATCTGCAGCGAAAGCACAACCGCTGGTCTATCTATACGTTCACAAAACCATTCAGGCTCGGAGTCAGCAAAGCGAGTACCAAAATATATACACAGAGGCATATCAGATTCATGAATTATAGGAAAGTAAATAACTCTTCCCCCATTACTCATATTGGTGTCGCTCCCAAAAGTTGCTCTTCATTTGCATAAAGTTAAACATATCTCAACTTTGTCGCGTCACTGGACACGCCTAGATCCTGTCGCCAATGGTCACTGTTGCTTGTGTCGCCCAGCTCTCCACTGAAATGAATGGGATCATGTCACTGCGTGTCGCTGGTAGTGTGAACGCAGCTTAAAGGGATACTCCACTTTTTTGGAAATAGGCTCATTTTACAACTCCCCCAGAGTTAAACTGTTGAGTTTTACCGTTTTTGAATCCATTCAGCCGATCTCTGGTTCTGGCGGTACCACTTTTAGCATAGCTTAGCATACATCATTGAAGTGGACAAGACCATTAGCATTTCTAAAAAAAAAAATGACCAAAGAGTTTCGATATTTTTCCTATTTAAAACTTGCCTCTTCTGTATTTACATCGTGCACTAAGACCGACGGAAAATGTAAAGTTGCGTACCATGAGAGCAGCAGGCGTAATGATATGACGCAGCGCCTGAAAATAGTTCCGTTGTGTTGACGGAAGGTAGCCTAAGTTGTGATTTTCTAGGCTGATATGGCTTGGAACTATACTCTCATTCCTGCGTAATAATCAAGAAACGTCACTGCCGTACCATGAGAGCAGCAGGCGTAATGATATGACGCAGCGCCTGAAAATAGGCGTCCTTCAGTCAACACAACGGAACTATTTTCAGGCGCTGCGTCATATCATTACGCCTGCTGCTCTCATGGTACGCAACTTTACATTTTCCGTCGGTCTTAGTGCACGATGTAACTACAGAAGAGTCAAGTTTTAAATAAGAAAAATATCGAAACTCTTTGGTCATTTTTTTTTTTTAGAAATGCTAATGGTCTTGTCCACTTCAATGATGTATGCTAAGCTATGCTAAAAGTGGTACCGCCAGAACCAGAGATCGGCTGAATGGATTCAAAAACGGTAAAAGTCAACAGTTTAACTCTGGGGGAGTTGTAAAATGAGCCTATTTCCCAAAAAAGTGGAGTATCCCTTTAAGGCCATGAATGTGTTTAAGAAAAAGTGTAAAAGTTTGCAGTCCATTTTTTTTTTTTTGGGTTCGGTTAGTTTGCGAAAACATTTGATTTCCATGTAGACTTTAAGCCAAGGTTTTAGAATCTTAGAATGTTATGGAGCCAAATAGAATGTTGGGGAAGTAATAAGGAATGTTATGACTTATTTAGAATGTTGGAATTTGTTTAACTTCTTCAATAGAATGCTGCTGAGTGAAATGCAATTCACGTTATTAGAATGTTTAATAAGGAGTGTAATAGAATGTATTCCCGGGAGTCTCTGTGAGAATGTCACTAGTCCCCACATGGCTGGGCTGTGAGTGAGGTGCAGTCTTAATGATCTGGCAGGAGTGTGGCACTGTGAATCCTGACTGCTGGGCTGCTTAATTACTGAGTGAAGTGGGCTGAGACATCACACTGCCGTATGAGACCTCCGAGCCACCGAGCCATGCAGAGCACTGTCCATTAACTTCCACTCCAGCACTGCGCAAAGAATAAAGCACACAGGATTGCTACGGTACATACTGTGCCAAAATGTAGCTGCTGCTGCTACTATACAGTTAAAACAATTGGGCTGTCAAAGCAACAATTGCATAACTGTCACTTCGGATGTTTTATGCAGTACTTTGGATACTATTTACGTCAATGTGTGACAGGTTCACTAGATTTGTTTTTAAAGAGTGAACTTATTTGACATTGACCCTTTAGTAAGCTCCCCTCCCAAGCTTTACAGAATATGTCGGATTTAACTAAAGTGGAGATTTTTTTATGAATATCATTCTTATGTGAGCTTGTCGTAATGGTGACATTGGAAAGAATTTTATCTGCTGGTTGTTTTTACGTTACAGTTCAAACGTTTAGGATCAATACGATTTTTGTAATGTTTTTGAAAGAAGTTTCTTATGCTCACCAAGGCTGCATTTACTTGACCTGAAATACAGTAAAAACTGTAAATATTGTGAAGTAATATTGTTAAAATAACTGTTTTGTATTTTAAAATGTTAAAAATTCCTGTGATGGCAAGGCTTAATTTTCAGCATCATTACTCCAGTCTTCAGTGTCACATGATCCTTCAGAAATCATTATAATATGATGATTTGCTGCTCAAGACACATTTATTACTATTATCAATGTTGGAAATGGTTGTGATGGTTAATATTTTTGTGGAAATAGTGATGGATTCTTTCTAGGATTCTTTGAAGAATAGAAAGAACAAATGAACAGCATTCATTTGAAATACTTTTGTAACCGTTTAAAAGTCTGTACCGTTTTGTTTTTATCAATTTAATACATCCTTGCTAAATTAAAGTATTAATTTCTTTTTAAAAAACTAAAATCTTAATGCCCCCAAACATTTGAATGGTAGTTTAAATCATTAAATTACACAGGAACCTGATTAAAAACTGTCGAATTCCTTAGGACTGTAAAATAGACGTACATAAGAAAGGAAACATGGTGGATGTCAACAGTTGCGAGGGTCATTAGCACGTTTAAGGCTAGCGAAGGTTTGTGCTAATCATGTACATGAAATGCTTAAAAAAAAGTTATTATTTTATGTTTCAGGCTGCAGGATAAAGCGGCCGATACCATCGAGTCCCTGCACAAGGCTGGTATGAAGGTTTGGGTTCTCACAGGGGACAAAATGGAGACGGCAGCAGCCACATGCTATGCTAGCAAGTTGTTCCATCGCAATACACAGATCCTGGAACTGACAACCAAGCGGACCGAAGAGCAGAGTCTCCATGACGTCCTGTTCGACCTGAGCAGGACTGTCCTGAGACAGCATGGCGGCATGACCAGGGACACTTTCTCAGGGTGGGTACAGTGGAAATGTGTACATGCCCTCATGTTTACACACAGGCACCTTCACACATATGTTTCGTCCACACAGGCTCTCGGGTGATTGCCAAGACTATGGTCTCATAATCGATGGGGCAACACTGTCAGCTGTACTGAAGCCAACACAGGAAGGAAACAGCAGCGGAGGGAACTACAAGGAAATATTCCTGGAAATCTGCAGGAACTGCAGTGCTGTTCTCTGCTGCCGCATGGCACCCTTACAGAAAGCACAGGTAATGCAGCACTTCAGTCACTAAGAGTATACACTACTGTTCAAAAGTTCGCCAAGTCTCACCAAGGCTGCATTTATTTGATCAAACATACAGTAAAAACACTAAATATTATTACAATTTAAAATAACTCTTAATATATTTTAAAATGTCATTTATTCCTGTGATGCAAAGCTGAATTCTCAGCATCATTCAGTGTCACATGATCCTTCAGAAGTCATTCTAATATGCCGATTTGCTGCTCAAGAAACATTTCTTATTATTATCAATGTTGAAAACAGTTGTGCTGCTTGATATTTTTGTGGAAACTGGGATATGGGATTCTTTGATGAATTGAAAGTTCAAAAGAAAGTTCAGCATGTATTTGAAATGGAAAACTTTTGTAACATTATAAATGTCTTCATTGTCACTTTTGATCAATTTAATGCATGCTTGCTGAAAAAAAGTATTCATTTATTTAAAAGAAAACAAAATCTTGCTGACCCTACATGTTTAAATGGTAGTGTAGGTAGTGTATCAGATCATTTTATAACATAATTTCCTGTCACAGTATAATTTAGGTAAAGAATCACAGGAAACTCTTTGTCATATATGTCTCCATTTTGTAGTTTCAAAAATTACTAATATTACTGTAATCGTTGTAATAAATGTTTTTATGTGTCTTTCTATTGGAAGAATATATTCATGAACAACAGTTCACAATACATATTGGCAGTTACTTTATTTATTTACTTTTGCTTCACTGATGAAAGCGGGTCCATGCAAAGAATTAACGTTTCCAAGCAACAAACAGTAGTGCCGTTCCTTAATGAATCCGTGTTTTTGAATAAATCGGTTTAGCAAATGATTCAGTAGCTGGGTTTCCATCCAAACGTAAAGCGAATCTTCGAAAGTTCGCAAAAACAAAACGAACAAAAAAACAAAACAAATGCAAATTAGGTACGTTTCCATCAAGTTGTTCGAGGAGATGACGGTGGTATTGGTAACCTTGTAACCAACAGTAAATAAAACACCATCTGCGGAAACAGCCGATTAGTCACGTGGGTTTAATGTTCGCTACATCAGAATTTATTCGGCAAATACGTTTCCATCTCCCATTATTCGCATTAACTCTTTTTCGCAAAAGTCAAAAACCACAAGCCAGTGTAAAAACTTTTTTAATAAATTTGCCGTTTCCATCACTCGTTTCTGATGCGATACTTCAGAATGCGCATAAAAACAGGCTGATGGAAACATAGCTAGTGACTATTTCAGGGGTTCTCAACTCTGGCCCTTGAGATCTACTTTCTTGCTGAGTTTATCTCCAACCCTGATTAAACTCACCCACCTGCAACTTTCTAGTAATCCTGAAGAACTTGATTAGCTTGTTCCGGTGTGTTTGAGCTTAACTCTGCTGGAAAGTGCACCTCGAGGGCCAGAGTTGAGAACCCCTGACTTATTAAATCCTGAATGAATCACTGTTTTGAACAAATCGATTCAGTGAATAACTCAATGACTCCCTCATAAAGACAGTTTCATTAAAACGTTATTTAGTTTGTTTATTAAGCCAATGGGTTCCAGTGACTATGGGTGATTTTAGGCTTTGGTATCAATTTGGGAACATTTGGTCTCCACAATGAGGATAAAACCTGACCCACACACACACACACACACACACACACACACACACACACATACACAGCCACCTGCCAGAGAAAGGTTGTCCTTGTTCCCTTATTGTAATCTCTCAGCCTGTGAGTTAGACGATGCAATCAAAAGAGACTCTGGTCTATTTCTCTTTCTAATTTACTGCACGCTAAACCTGTCAGTCACTCTCTGCTGCTGCTGGGGAAACCAGAGACTGTAAAGCCAAGAAGTGAGAGAACTCACAGTATTACAAGACCATTACTGACCTCAAGCACACAATAAAATCCTGTGTAATCAATGTGTACTAAAAGCCAATCTGATATTTTAGTCGTTTCATATGAGAAAGGGTAGATAGCTGATGATGAGTGTAATATTATCCCGTCTCCTCAGCCAAAAACTCTGATTAATAATCGAATCTCTCAGTTGTTCTGATTTAACCTGTGGAAATAAATCTGTTCTTTCAGATTGTTAAAATGATTAAAGCATCAAAAGAACACCCCATTACGCTGGCCATCGGGGACGGAGCCAATGATGTCAGCATGATTCTGGAAGCTCACGTGGGCATAGGTGATTTCACGCTTGCACACAAAATCAAGTCGTTTTTAGATATTAATACTTCTCCAGTCCTCTCTGATAGACTTGTGTTCAACAGTATGTTACATGCCCATTGACTGGTTATTCTGCCTCTAGGGATCATGGGTAAAGAGGGGCGTCAGGCGGCCCGTAACAGCGACTATGCAATTACCAAGTTCAAACACCTGAAGAAGATGCTCCTGGTTCACGGCCACTACTACTACATCAGAATCGCTGAGCTGGTCCAGTACTTCTTCTACAAGGTGAACCCAAACTAACAAAATGTGTAGACACACAAAATAAAGAATAAGATCACAAGCAAAATAGCTGATGATCACTAGCTGACACAACACAAACACAAACCACATTGCCTGCGGTTGTAAACACAGAAAAAAGTTGCTTAATGTGTGTGGATGATGCTTTTTTCCCAGGAGTTCTGAATAACCCACTAAACAATCTTGTTGAAAATGCAACTCAATGCAGCACTATTTATAGCAAACTGATTTCACACACGCACACAAACCCCCTAAAGGGTTTAGATCATCAGGTACTGAGGGTCTGTTGTTTCTCTCCACAGAATGTGTGCTTCATCTTCCCTCAGTTTCTCTATCAGTTCTTCTGTGGCTTCTCTCAGCAGGTAAACGCATATCTCAAAGGTCACTATTATACTACTTTTGAAAAAGAACATTCTGTCTTTATATTTTCTTCAGTTATGCGCCTTTAGAAAATAAACTTCTCGTTCTGTGGTGGAAATGTTGGTGGTGGGAATGATATTTGAAACATTTATGGAAATAAAATTTCAGAATCTTTTGTTTAGCTTAGAGTTATTTCATAGGTAGTAGCAATTCTTAAAATTAAATAATATTTTCACACTTTTTTTTATAATTTGACGATTACAACTTATATTTACTGCTATTTTTTTATTATTTATTGTATTAATTAGTACTTTTATTCAGCAAGGATACAATCATTTGATCAAAAGTTACAGTAAAGACTTTTATGTCGTTATAAAAAGATATCGATTTCAAATAACTTTCTAAAATGTACAACATTTTCCACAAAATATTATGATTTTTAACATTGATAATAATCAGATATGTTTCTTGAGCATCAAATCATCATATCAGAATGATTTCTGAAGGATTGTGACACTGAAGACTGGAGTAATGATGCTGAAAATTCAGCTTTGATCACAGGAATAAATTACATTTTAAGATATATTTCATAGAAATATCACTAGTAATACAAATATTACTGTTTTTTTTGTATTTTTGGTTAAATACATGCAGCCTTGGTAAACATAAACATAAAAGACTTTTAAAAACATTACAAAATCTTACTGGCCCCAAACTTTTGAACAAAAGCATCATAATATTTTTAAAATTAAACTTCTAAGATTTTAAAATTAAAATCCTGGGTCTGGGACAAGAGTAAAAATAGAATCATAAAATAAAAATACATGCATAGTAAAAAGCATTTAAAAAAGCAAAAATAAATTATGGAAGCATTGGGAAAAAAATGTAATGACCTTGATATAACAAAAAGAGAAAAGTATTAACCTGATTGTAAATCAACACCTGCAACATGAAAGTGCTAATATAGTTAATTTCTCTTTTGCACTTACACTGTACATTTACAGTAACAACAATTTTTCCCTCTGCAGCCACTGTACGACACGGCATATCTGACCCTGTACAATATCAGCTTCACCTCGTTACCCATCCTCCTCTACAGTCTGATGGAGCAGCACATCAACATGGACATCCTCAAAAGGGACCCCTCTCTATACAGGTGAGGAATATTCTGGTTGCACCATTATTACCCACTCCTGTGGTCAGAATGTCAGGCAATAATTATAATTTAACTCTAACAATAAGAAGAATCATAAAATAATAGTTCACCCAAAAACAAGAAGTATGTGGTTAATTTTGAGTTTTTTTTTAGTCTGATATATGATACGTAACGTGATGCATCTCATCACGTGTACGGGGAGGTATTTTGGAGCAGCACGTTCACTATCTTCTATTTCTGGTTCCCTCTCTGAGACCTACTGATAAATCCCTGTCTACATACAGGCTATTTATATCAACCTTGGCCTCCTTTTTGCACGACTGTTGGCTCATAACACACATTGTTTCATATCCTGACATTTGTTGTCACCTTTTTCCCAGAGACAAACTTGCACTATTTTTTATTACAGTCTTTTATTTTAGTTTTATTATTTTATTATTAATTATATGATTATTATTATTGTTATATGCTTTTCAGTTATTTGAAAGTCTGGGTCTAGGACAAGAGTAAAAAAATAAAATCATAAAATTAAACATATTCATAGTAAATACATTTGAAATGGCAAAAAAGCAAATGATGAAGGCATGGGACTTTTTTTATTATTATTTATATGTATTATTATTTTAGTATTATTATGCTTTTCTGGCTGACCCAGTTGGACCAGTAGTCCAAAATTATTAATTTTATTTAATATTATTTCTTATTTCATATTATTTTATTATAGAAATATTATTTATATATACATGTATATATATTATCAAAAAGTTTTGTAGTAGTTTTGTTATGTTGCCGTGGTAAGATATTTAATCTTAAAAAGCATAAACACACATGATAAAATAAAAAGTCATAGTGACGGCACAGCACTGGTCCATTCGGATGGTTTTACTATTAAATATGTTTTTGAAAACTTTTACTTTCCTTGCATCATTTTTGGATCTAATAAACCGCCTGATGAAGCCCAATCTCGCTCTCTATATTTTCCTCTTTAATAAAATGTTTTTCCTGATTGTGAGCCTCCAGGTATTCTCACTTAATCACATGAACACACTGCCACCAAATACATGTCTGCAATAATTGGACAGTTCAATCAGCTTTTGGAAAACATATTTGCCTGGACGCTTGCACTAAACTCAATTTACACACAGCACTGGGCAGAAATACTGTAAGAACCACTTTACGTTTTATCAACAAATGTCCTGACACTGCCATTTTTTTCCTCTTATTTCTCTGCATTGCTTATTCAGTATATACAGTACATTATACACAGTGTTTGCTACTGACACACAGTGCAGCACTTGTCGACATCAAGGACATTTTCAATGGAAAAAGCTGATCTAATAGTCATTTTTCTGTATGTATATATATATATATAAAAAGAATGGGCACAAGCAGCAGAGGTCATGTTCGTTTTTTCTTACCAATATTTCACTTTCATTTGAAATGTTCTATCCAATCTCAAGTATGGTTGGAGATTAAACTGATATTTCATTGAGTGCTTACAAATAACCATATGATCTTGCAATGAAAGGTTAGATTGCTCAATTGCTCTTCATGTTGGTATCAATGTCTCTTCATTTAGTATAAATGTCTTATTTATACAAATGAGACTATTGTAGACATACAGTATAAAATGAACAGATAGCATAGCGCAGATCATTTGATCTTGGATTTGGAGTTCAGATATTTGACTTTAGTATCTTGGAAAATCTGAGCATAGTTTGAGACATTAGCTATGTTTCCATCCACTCATTTTTATGTGGATTTTGGGATATCGCATAAAAACGCTGCATTGAAATGCAAAGATGCACATAAATTCTAAAAATGCACATAAAACTACTTTTTTATCCGATAAGAAGACATGCGCATAAACTACAATGGAAACGCATTGAAAGCGCAAGTTACTTTCAAAAGGTGATTTGCGCTTCCATCGACATCCGTGTTTATATTCAAACTATAAACTTTTATCCCAGTGTGTCTGTGATAATATGAATGTTTGTAACAGAAAGAACAATACTATACTCACCTAAAGGATTATTAGGAACACCTGTTCAATTTCTCATTAATGCAGTTATCTAATCAACCAATCACATGGCAGTTGCTTCAATGCATTTAGGGGTGTGGTCCTGGTCAAGACAATCTCCTGAACTCCAAACTGAATGTCAGAATGGGAAAGAAAGGTGATTTAAGCAATTTTGAGCGTGGCATGGTTGTTGGTGCCAGACTGAGTATTTCACAATCTGCTCATTTACTGGGATTTTCACGCACAACCATTTCTATGGTTTACAAAGAATGGTGTGAAAAGAGAAAACATCCAGTATGCGGCAGTCCTGTGGGCGAAAATGCCTTGTTGATGCTAGAGGTCAGAGGAGAATGGGCCGACTGATTCAAGCTGATAGAAGAGCAACTTTGACTGAAATAACCACTCGTTACAACCGAGGTATACAGCAAAGCATTTGTGAAGCCACAACACGCACAACCTTGAGGCGGATGGGCTACAACAGCAGAAGACCCCACCGGGTACCACTCATCTCCACTACAAATAGGAAAAAGAGGCTACAATTTGCAAGAGCTCACCAAAATTGGACAGTTGAAGACTGGAAAAATGTTGCCTGGTCTGATGAGTCTCGATTTCTGTTGAGACATTCAGATGGTAGAGTCAGAATTTGGCGTAAACAGAATGAGAACATGGATCCATCATGCCTTGTTACCACTGTGCAGGCTGGTGGTGGTGGTGTAATAGTGTGGGGGATGTTTTCTTGGCACACTTTAGGCCCCTTAGTGCCAATTGGGCATTGTTTAAATGCCACGGCCTACCTGAGCATTGTTTCTGACCATGTCCATCCCTTTATGGCCACCATGTACCCATCCTCTGATGGCTACTTCCAGCAGGATAATGCACCATGTCACAAAGCTCGAATCATTTCAAATTGGTTTCTTGAACATGACAATGAGTTCACTGTACTAAAATGGCCCCCACAGTCACCAGATCTCAACCCAATAGAGCATCTTTGGGATGTGGTGGAACGGGAGCTTCGTGCCCTGGATGTGCATCCCACAAATCTCCATCAACTGCAAGATGCTATCCTATCAATATGGGCCAACATTTCTAAAGAATGCTTTCAGCACCTTATGAATCAATGCCACGTAGAATTAAGGCAGTTCTGAAGGCGAAAGGGGGTCAAACACAGTATTAGTATGGTGTTCCTAATAATCCTTTAGGTGAGTGTAGGTTTAATAGACACAGGTGTCATCCAGGAATGAGATCACTCGGGTTTATGAATCGAGATCTTTTAATGATTCATCGATCTTTTAACGATTAATATATATATATATAGTCTTTGAATATATATTTTTTTATATATTTCTTTTTACAGAGATATTGCCAAGAACTCCCTCCTGAGATGGTCCACCTTCATCTACTGGACATTTCTGGGGGTTTTTGATGCCATGGTCTTCTTCTTTGGTGCTTTCTTCCTTTTCGACAACACAACCTTCACCAGCAACGGACAGGTAACACAGTCACCGTCTAAACCAGGATTTTGTTCCTACGTTTTTCTGTGTGTGTTTTGTTTAATCGACTTAACCAGCTGTTTTTTTCCTTTAGTTGTTTTTTTTTCTCAGTCAAATAAAAGTCGCACACAGATTGAATGGGTGGCCGATGCTTGTCGAAAGTGGACTCAGTGCTTGTAAAGTACACATTTGTGGTTTAACTGATGTCTTGATCCAGCTCGCAGACTTTTGTCTGTCCTCCTCTGCGTATGTTTGAAGTCATTATGGTGCTTCTCCATTCATTTATGCGACACAAAGCATGCTGGTTAATCAGTCAGATCAGACATCTTTCTCTGTGCCATTAAGTTAAATCATAGTAACCTTTTTGGATTGCTTTTTTTTACCTGTTTGATTTACTTTAAGTTATAACATCCTAATTTTTTCTTTACTTTCTTGCTCCCTGTCCCCTCCCTCTCCTTCTTTTCTTTCGTTTTCTTCTTTATCTCTCTTTCTATATCTCTCCCCTCTCTCTTTCCTCCTTTTACCTACCCCCTTTTTGCCTTTCTTTTCTTTTCTGCTTCTCTTCCTTTCCTCAGCTAATGGCCACCAACACACAGATGGTAAGCCTGTCCCTATCTGTTTCTCATCCTATTTTTAGTTTTAGTTTTACTGTTTCCCTCCTCAGCCCCTCCCCTCATCCTAAAGCCACCCCCACTCACATAGTGTCTACTAACACCAACCGTTCACTGCCATCGTAGCTTTCAAACAGTACCGTACGACATCCCAGCGTCCCCTGAACCGAGGACCAGCCACCGTACGTATAGAGTAGCGAGCCCCCCCCTCCTTTCCATCTTCCTCTGTCTATCATCTTGTGATGGAGTAGGAGTTTGTGTCCGCCCCGTGTGTCACGTTGCGACTGTGTTTTTTTGGCAAACACCCGGGTCGGAGGGGTGTTGTCATACTCATCCTCATCGGCCCGTAGGATACATGTCCATCCTCTCATGCCTCACTGCAAGGGCAAATGAATGAACAAGAGGAAATGTGGATTAAGCATTTCGCTTCATTTGGCACATGTTGAATGGAAAAGAAGACACTTTAAATTAGAAGGTTTTTCCACAAATAGGGTACACTTTGGTGTCTCGTTAGCTTTTTTAAATCCATCGAAGGTTCAAATCTCTTTTTAAGATGTTTTTTTATTCGCTTTAAAGCATTTGACATTTCATAATGTCTTTATTGTAAGAAAAAATGGTAATACTTTGCAAGGTTCCAACATTAGATAACTAAATTAATGAACAAAGTAATGATTAAAAATACTTCTAAAGCATTTGTTAATCTTAGTCTGTTCATTTTTTTAAATTAAAAGTTGTATCTGTTAATGTTATTTAATTGACCTGAGCTAACTTAACTAACACTGAAGTTTACAGAAATTAATACATATTGTGATGTGTATTGCTCATTGTTAGTTAATACTAGTTAAATATCTATTTTTGATAGAAAATGTGCAAAATTGCACCAATCATGGTTTCAAACGTCACTTACCGGTAATTACAATCTGTCCCAAATTTTGGTTACGGGGTTGTAAAAATTGCAAACCTTGTATAAAATGAACAGAAAATAAAATAGCTCAGACACAAATGAGTTCAACCTCCTGATGTTGATGTTCGACCTCGTTTCACTGACCAATTGTTGAATAAGAAATAAAAGCCCTATTTTTTACCCTATTCGTGGAGAGTGGCAGATACTCTAACATGATTAAATTGAATTATTAACAGATTAAAAAAGAAAACTGTGCAAAATAACAAATTTAACCTTCTGAAAAACCTCACAAGATCCTTAAATATCATTTGCCCTTGACAAGTGTTTTTTAACACTACTTTTAATTTTGATTGCTCATCAAGGTAAGTTAATACATTTTCTTCAAACTTGTTGACATCTATTGTGTGTCCTTGTACTTGTTTTTTGTTTTAACTGGTTACTCATCAACATTGTATTGTTCACTAAAACCATTTGGTGCCGTACAGTCTTTGACCTGCTCGTGTTTTGCTATGGCTGGTTGATTTTGATTGTGATTAGTTTTTCTTTTTAAAGGTTAACATTATAAAGCGCTTTCATTATAGTGTCGATGTTTTGCATAGTGTCATCAACAGCGTGGCCGGTCCGCAGACAGGGGAAGGTTCTAGAAGAGATATCCATTGTGTCTAAATTCAACCATTTGCCAAGACTGTAAACAATGAGGGAACAAATCCTCCCAAAAAGAGAAAAAACAATCACACAGAAATCCGCACCCGAGCAGATGTTTATTGAGCCTAAGTGCCAATGCTGAATCCATTATAACATTTTAAGGGACTATCTAAGCTCACTATTTATTTATGAAGCTTTTATAGATAAAATATAAAACTCATTTGAGTTCAGCGAGTTCCAGACATCATTAATAATCTCTGTAAAACTATATAGGATGACACCGAAATGCTTTCAATTTGCAGCACCGTTAAAATATAATGATATAATAATACTATTTCATGCAAATCATTCACAAGAGATTTTTTAAAAGAAACATTTGATGAGTGTTTTGTGTATACTGTATATGTTATGCTTCTGAGAGCGCTGTATTGATGCAGAAGTTTAGTTGAGTGCAACTGTGAACTTAAGAGATGCAAAGATAGGTATCGTATTATTCATCAAATTAAAATGGACTAAAGGCAGATACTAAAAATTATATTTATAAATATATTTATTAGGTACATTTATTACTTTCTATAGGGTTTACAGATTTTCTACTTCTAATATATTGTATATATAATAATAATTATATATATATATGTACTATTTATAAATATGTATTTATACTACTAATATTTTCTACTTCTAATATATGGTATATATACAAATAATAATATAAATTCCTACATAAAAGAATGTACATAAAAAATTTGTATTTATTTTTGTACATCGTACATCTTTGTATATATGATTCAGGTAAACGCCTCTTCCTGTTATGTTGCATCTTTCTTCTTTTTTTTTTTAAGTATTTTAAAAGTAACCTAATTAAAATCTAATATTCCTTATTCAGCTATTCCTATATAAAATATTTCTTATTTAATATTTCTTGCATACTCTTTTGGTAAACTCGGTATTGTCCCAAAATGTCCTTATGAAGAAACTGAAGAAACTGAAGAAACGTTTTTTTTATTATTAATATATTTCTACTGGATAATTCAAACAAGTATTTTTCTACCGAGTGCTAAATTGCTCAAATAAAGGCACAGAAGCTTTTAACATGCGTGACTGCAGTGTATGGCGTGTTTGTTTGTATGTCGATGAGAGGGTGAGCTGTATTTACACCCATTCAAGTGGCTGTTTCTACATCAGTGTCAATCTCTTTTTGCCTTTTTCAATATTTCTCTGTTCTAGATGTTTGGAAACTGGACCTTTGGAACACTTGTGTTCACTATTCTCGTGTTCACGGTCACGCTAAAGGTGATACATCTTACGCATGTGTTATGATCTTAGCTGTTGCCGATCGGCGTCTATCTTCCTATTTCTCACTGTGTCTTCATGCTTTAGCTTGCCCTGGACACACATTACTGGACGTGGATCAACCACTTTGTCATATGGGGGTCACTGCTTTTCTATGTCATCTTCTCCCTCCTGTGGGGAGGCATCATTTGGTACGTCCTGCCTAAATATACTGTACACTTACTATCACAAAATCAAACATGTTTGAATCTAACGTGGTTCATCTGCTGTCTTTCTGTTCTTTATAGGCCTTTCCTGAACTATCAGAGGATGTACTATGTGTTCATGCAGATGTTGTCCAGCGGTCCTGCGTGGCTCAGTATAATTCTGCTGATTATAGTCAGTTTGCTGCCTGATGTGGTGAAGAAAGTGCTGTGTAGAGCTCTATGGCCCACCACCACAGAGAGAATACAGGTACGACACCAGTATCTACATGTGCGTAGAGATGCAAGGATACTGCTAGTTTGCATGTCAAACGTAAATGAATTTGTTTATGTTTCATTGCAGTAATAGATAGCTGTTTAAAAATATATATATATTATATACCATGATTATTAGTTTGGGTAGATGCCATGTTTAATTGAATGCAAATGAAAACAAAGTTGGGATGGAAATACATTTTTTTTGTATTATTATTGTTTAAAGCCCCAAGTCCTGTAATTTCCACAACCTATGTTTTCTGGATAGTCTGTCAAGTCATCTTTATTTATATAGCGCTTTCAAAGCAGCTTTACAGTGATAACAAGAAAATGATGCAAACAGAGTTCACAGCAGCTCTAAACGAAAATAGTGTCATTGTTCAGCTGAAGTCAGTTCAGTGTTGATTCAGTTCCATTGTAAAGATATCATCAGTTAATCAATTTTGTAGTTTGTAGCTGAATTTATTTTTTTAACTCTTTCCCTGCCATTGATGGAAATTTCCCTTATTTGTGAGACGATGCTTCCCCACCATTGACGAAATTTTCGGCCTTTCCGTGTTTTTACTGTTATACGGTAGGGGGTGCTATTAGGCGTCTTCTGAAAGTGTACTGAATCTCCGGATCAAAACACAGGTGAAGAAGACGCAAAACGAGCAATATCCAAGGGGGTAATCCATCGACCGGAAGTTGAAGCCGGCCTGGGTGCCGCCATCTTGTAGCAGAACTTCACTTGCGTTAGCATTTCCATTGACTCCCATTGATTTTGGCGTCACTTTGACAGCGAATAACTTTACATCTGAGGCGTTTAAAGACTCCATTTGTCCATTATTTATTTCTAAAGAAACACGACAATGTATAAAGTGCTCTATTACCTTCTATGTTACATTATGGCCCCGTAGAAACAGTTTTTGAAAAAATAGGCTAACGATTGCGTCATAACCACTCGACTCTCTGTCGCGCTGTACAGAAATTACCGTACAGACAGGAGGAGAAGCTCGCAGGCAATCGGGGGGACGTCCCGTCAAGGGAGAAGCCCATAGATAATGAGTCCATAAAAGCAACGGAATACTTACTCCTGGTCACTCACGCCAAAGAACTCTTTGCTCAAGTTCCCCGTCTCCGCAAGATTAACGTTGGCAATTTTCACGCACAGCTACTAGAAGATTAACGTCTGTCAGACAGGTTGCTCACGTCATCAAGCTTAGTTTGAGTCGGTTTGAGTCTGCGCGTCAGGAACGGAAGTGCTCAAAAATCGCTAAAAATGGGCTTCAACTGTCTCAACTGAGTTCCAATGAGATGGCTCTGTACACTTCTTATACTGTCTATGGCAATATCATATGTAATCATATTCATATGTAAAATAACGCGATCATTAAACAGCATAAAAAAAATCAAAACTGCCTAATGTTACAGAATGAAATGTCGACCCAGGAAGAGCTGTAGAACTGTGCAAGCATTAGCGGTGTTGATGGACTCGATTTACTCCATCTATGTTTTGATCATCGTTCTGAATCTGATCAAGATCTAGTCTTTGACAAAAACACGATGTTCTCAGTGTTTAGCTCAAAATGTTGCCTTTTTATGGAACTTACTCACATACAAGTGTTAATAAAAAAAGAATGCATGAAGATAGAATAATATATTTTTTTTTTTTTTTGCTATATTGCATGTTCAGATAATCATACAACAAAATATTCCAGGGGCCATGAATTTTTTGCGAAAATGAGTGTATTGAACTGATTGCACTATCCATAACAGCTTTGTTTTGTTTGTTTTCTACCAAAAACAGTGTCTATCCCAACTTAGAGCCATTTCTTCTGCAAAAATACAGCTATTTAAGAAAAATATTTGTTATTTTCAACCAAATGATTGTTGATCTGAACCAGCTCAATAGTGCTATACTTTGTGATAATGGCTACTAACTGGTCTTCAGTAGGGATGTAACGATTCACTCATCTCACGATGCGATACGATTCACGATACTGGTTTCACGATACGATTTTCTCACGATTTTTTTAACAAATGCGATTTAAGACAAAAGTGTCCCTTTTATTATTTCTCAGACAAAATGCTGCACATTTCTTTTTAATTTAAAATATATTTCTCAAATAATAAAACTACATTAAAAAAATTCCCTTCAAGGTTGTTTCAACTCAGTCTTTCTGTCTGTTTGGTCAAGAGGCTGGACACTGGTACCTTCGCACACTATGTAAAAGACTGTGTAAAATTAGTAGTACCAGATTGACAGGGGTTTTACATTGTAATAAAGGCAAGATTCTAATTTTGTTATAATTTGTATCATTACACTAGTAAGAGTAAAAAAAAAACACATTTAGAGAAAGAGATAGTAAAATAAATACAACACCTGGTTGCCACGGAAACACTGATGCACCTTGTGATCTCCGTGGCTCTCGCAATTGTAGTATTAATGACTTTTACATGAAAACGGAGGTGACTGGTGTTACTCACGGTGGTGATTATTATTAGTCTACGGAAAGTCAAAATGCCGCCACACCTCCGATTTGAATGAGTCAACGTCAACATCTACGCTTGCCGTCGCCAAAGCCATGTCTACTGTTTGACGGCACGTGCACAGCAGTCTATGGCACACACTGGTGCGGCGCGAGCGGAGCAAACCGAGCGTTTTCAGTTCATTCCTATGGAAGTTGAGCTTGGCTCACACAAGATCAAGTTCCATGAATGAAGTGAAAACACTCGCTAGCTTCACGCCAGTGTGTGCTCGCTGCTATTGTGCTATTGTAAAGCGAGGTTCACAACTTCACAGTAGGCTATAGTAAACGCGCCCTGCTGTTTAAAACGTGTATCGCGATTCGTTTAACATTTCAACCGACTTGAATCGTCACACATTTTTATCGATTTTCAACCGGTTGCGAGTGAATCGTTACATCCCTAGTCTTCAGATTTACACTTGCGTCGGACTGCTTCCCAGTGTGCTTGATGTAAGTGAATTCTGGATGCAGTTCACGATTCTCTTCTTTACGTTGGATGACTCTTTAAGCCATTCAATGGTGTTATTGGGTCTGTTATTGGGTCTATCTTTGTATTTTACTGTGTTGGCACACATAGTATGTCAGCATACTATGTTAAGAAATTTCAGAAGGAAATTTAATGTGTGTGTATGATCTTACCACTTACCACTGGTTTAACCCATGTGATGTTTTTCCTCTCGCTCACCTTCCCTATGAAACTCTAGAATTTCCCAGTGTGCTAATGTTACTGCCACATTAACGTCAACATGAAACGTCCATAATTCTGACACTAAGGTCAACAGGATAATCAACAATAAAATAACACGTAATATGATATATAAACAAGATTTAATCCTTCGGGAAATGATCAGGGGAGGTAGGTGCTACAAACCAAACCACAGGAGTTGGTGACATCGGCCGAAAACAAGCATTGATAAGAATGTGTATTAAGAAAGTAAATAGGGTCCGTTCTGATTTCATGTTGACTTTAGGATCTAACTGTAGAATATGATACTTCAGGAACACTTTACATAAGGTTCAAATGGTTTACATTAGTTAAAGGTAAAGTTCACCCAAAAATGTACTCATCCTCAAATTGTTCTAAACCTGTATGAGTTTCTTTCTGAGAAAGACTCATAAAGGTTTGGAACAACTAGAGCGTGAGTAAATGATCTCGTTTAATGCCTTAGGTGTCATGGACCAACAATAAACACATTTATCAATCACATATCATATCAATGTATTATGAAGGAACATGAATAAATAATACATTTTAGATAGATAAATGCTTGAATAAAAGCTGTAAAAATAGTTATTTCATGATGCTTAATGAATCAATGTAATTGACCAGTGTTATTTTAGTATTATTTAGATATTATAAGAATATTTATTCATATTTTGAATGTTTTGTTTAGTAGTTTAAGTTTGCCAATTTTTTTATTAGTCTTTATATTTTTTTTGAATTTCAGTTTTAGTAATTTCAGTACTTAAACTTAAATTTATTTGATTTCAGTTAGTTTCCAAGGCAATTTTTCAAAGTTTTTCATCTAATATTTCTTCATTTCAAATAAAATAAAATACATTTTTAATAGTTTTAGTTAACAATATCAAAACTGATTAATAAGTTGAACCTTATTGTAAAGTTTTACTAATAATTCTGCAAGAAAAAAAAAGTTGAATATGCACTAACACTTGTTGCCGAAGTTCCTTTATTAATCTCTGAGGATCGTTTCGGTTGTTAACCTCTCTAAACCCTTTCTGTTTTTATTCCTCTTCCATCTCTCTTTTTCTCTCTGATGCTTGACCTTCCCCCTCCCCTGTGTGTTTAACCCTTGGCCTGTGACCCGTGGTAACGGCAGACAAAGCGTCAGTGTCTCACTGCTGAGCAGTCCACCATCTTTATGCTCTCCCAGACCTCCAGCAGTGTCAGTTTCTGAACTGAGGCGGAGGTGAACCTACACACCGTCTCTGCATGTGCGTGTGTGTATCAGTGAGTGAAGACCTCCTGAACATTACTGCCACCCAACATGCCAATAGCATCCGTTACAGTACCCTGTGGTGTCTCCGAGCCTTATATTCCGTCACTCTACATGTTTGCATGCATGAAACGTGCATGTTTATGTTTGCGTATGTGCATTTTACGTTGCAGATCTGGAGTTGTTTAATGGAAATGCATTTTTTGCTGCTGTACTTTCAGTTCCAGCAAGATACTTCAGTGTCAAAACAATGGGTCTGTTATGCCACATTTGAGTCTGTTTGTGTGTGTGTGTGATGTTTCACAGAGAATGAGGGCTGACAGGATCTTTGAAAGGGTTGAGACAAACATTCATGATTCACTGCTAGATGGGGTTCAGAACACCACTGAGGCCTAGCAACTCTATGGTAAAGAGAATGTGAAGTTGAAGACTAAAGCCAGAAAGAACTAATCCACACTCGACTCTAGAGTTCTCAGATGAAGTGTGCGGTTCTAGAATCAATCTGAGAATTCTAGAATCCTCCAGTGAAAGCACTCGGGATTAAAAAGCCTTTGCTGCACCTGTGTAGGTCTGTTGTTTGGTGTGAAACCTACGGACTGGTTTGGTTTGGTTTGGTTTGGTTTTAAAGCTTCAGATTGAAGGTATTGGGTTGTGGTTTGGGGTGTGCGGTACTGTATGGCTCTGACACGTACACAAATGCACACAGCAGACTTGACATACAGTTTAACATCTAACACTCTGGCTTGCATGTGTGTTTTTACTTGTCTATTGAAAATATTATTTGCATATATTTCTAAATGTCCATTCCTAGAACATGCTTATGATCATCTCTGTTACTGAGCGAATCTCACTTTTTTTTTCTTTGTAGAACCACAAACTCAAAACAAAGAAACAAGAAATTATATTTTGCTTAAAGAACATAAAGCCTGTTTTGGGATCGTTGAGTTTTTTTGCATTCTGTGAATTTACAAAAAAAAATCCAAAAAATATCTGTAATGATCAAAAATAAATAAATAAAAACTATTACAGTAATTTTTTCACAGTATTACAGTAATGAGAATTGTACTGAATGACCGTGGTAAAAAAAAATTGTGTCAAAAGTGAACTGTTATGATAATTAATACTTACAGTAATGATGCATTACGATAATGAATAATTACAGTTCTTCAAAAAACATGTACCAGCACAGGAATTAATTGCATGTTAAAATGTAATAAAATAGAAACAATTATTATAGATTTTTATAATACGTAATATTGTTACTGTTTTTACAGTATTTTTGATCAAATAACTGCCTTGGTGAGCAAAAGAGACTTCTTTCGAAAACAATATGCCGACCCCAAACTTTTGAACGTTACTGTAAATATATTTCATTTTAAAACAAAACTTATTTTATCTTTTGATTTTGGGGTGAATTGTAACATTTCACCCTCCTTTTAAGAAAAAACCCACATATTTTTCACTGGCCTTAGCTTTTTCCCCCAGCAGTTTATCTCACAACATCCACTCAATCGATCAGTTTTGCATCTTCTAGGACTGGGCTTGTGCATGTGGTAAACATCCGATATGTGATCTTGTGAAGTATAATATTTTGTTGTTTTTTTTGCACCGCTTCTTGCTGGGGCTTTGGATTTGTGTTGTTTCAGCTTGTGATGTGACCAATGCCTGCATTTACATGCAATCTGCTAATTCACTCTCTTTCTGTCTGTTCCCTCCTCCTTTTCTCCAGGATGCTGATAAGTTGTATAAGGGGCACCTGTCCGAGTTCACTCCCCTGTCCTCCCTCCATGCTCCACCTGCGCGAAAACATGACAGACGGGGCAACCAAAGCCAGAACCACACCCACCGCAGGTCTGACTCCTCCCGTCCCAAAAAACTCATGTGTACCTACTGGGGCGGCAGGCCTGACTACTGCACCTTCAGCTCCTTCCTCCGAATAGGAGAGAACCCACGATTCTCTGGGGCAGCTTACGCCTACAGCACACCGGGTCCAGAGACGTCCGTATGATAGTCTCTCTAAAAGAAATAGTCTGGTTATCTGATCCAATTCGGCCTCGCTTATCCCAGGGTCAAGATCGGGACGCTATTGGGAGACCAATCTTGACTTGTCACCCTTTATCTGAAGCAAAAGCACTGAAATTGGTGAACGCTAATGGGCGGTAGTGATGCTGTGTGTTAGTTTTGGAGCTGGAGGAATTGGCCGCACCATCTGCAAGTGTTGCGTACTGCGCCAAGTGGCCTTGGGACCTATTTACCTTGATTTTTGTGTGTGTGTGTTCGTGAGAGCGTGTTTCCTTTACACTGTGGGTTTACGTGTTCGCTCACCTACCCTTGTAATCCTTCATGTGAAAAATTACTTGAAAACAACAATGGGCAGTAGTAGCACAAATCTTTCCATCTCAAACGCAACCTCTACCACTGAATATGATTGTGGATGACAGTTAAAATGGCCTCGGATGCTCTTAAAACTGACTGTCCTGTTTTTTTTTTCTTCTTTTCTTTGTTCTCTGTCGTCTCCCCTTCCCTTTTTTTATCCCGTGATCCTTCTCTTTTCTTGTCCTACTTTTTTATAGAACAAACTGGTGTTGCTTTTGTGCAAACCTGTTATCGAGGAACACTCCATAGGCTGCGATTGTCTTTGTCCGATTGCATTGTAAGTGGCTGAATTTGGCCATTTCTGCTGCTGCACTGTACTAGAGTGAACTAGGTGTGTGTGTGTGTGTGTGTGTGTAGGCCTTTGTTAGAACAACTATGAAAAGACAAATTGTAACTGGACTGTCATTATGTTTCACCCTTTACCTTTCAAAAAGGTGGAAATCCACTCGCATTCTACTCTTCCAAAGTTTCTAAAACCATTGACGTTGTGTCATCATGACAACCAGTTACTCTGTCCTAGCTGCTTGACCATTTGCTTTAAAATTCTCTAGTTCCCTATAATCAGTCCTTTAGTTTTTGTTTTTTTTAGAGTAGAACCAGATATACAACTCTAAAGGCTACGCTAGCCATCTTAGCTTAACTGTTCTGCCTTAATGTTAATGTTTCCCATCTTTTACACCACAGTTTGGAACCAAAGGTTGTAAACCAAGTGAAATACGGAGTGTATAAATGTGTGTTAGTTGCCTTATGCTTAAAGAGAAAAGGAGGGAAGGTGTTTGATGGCATTCCCAAGAATCCCACCACACTGCCTTAAGTTGACATTGCACCAGCTGAGGATGGAGAGCGATAAATGTAGTATTCGACATCTTCCAGTGCCACCAACACACAGCCCAGGGCTCCTGAGGGAAAAAAACAAAACAATAAAATGTAACATTTCTGTTGGCGCAGACGTCTTTGTGCGTTCGCAAAAAGTACAAAAGACCTTGTTTGTCTGTATTTTTATGATTGTAACATCCATTTTGACTGTTCCCTAAGCCTTTTTGTCTGTATTAATGGAACTGTTGGAGCCCTGTGCTGGGTTGCTATCATTTTCTTTGTTGCACATTACTGATTTATGATTCTCTGATATAAATAAGTCAGATGTAATTAGCATGTGCTACTGTTCACAAACAACTCATTAAACTAACAGCCCAATCAAGGTCAGCATGACAGATGCCCTATCTTGGGCACTAAATACCCTAAAACTTCAAATAATAGCCAAGTCCCAAATAGACGCCTGTCTCTTTTACACGCCTGGTGTGGATGCAGGTTTGGGTAAATAAAGGCCAGTCTCAAATAGAGGCCGGGTCTGTTTTTTTTTAGTTTCGGGTTGTATTTAACCTTCTAAAACCCGTCAGATCGTCCGCTTTTTGGCGGCCGAAAAAGCAAATTTGTGTCCCGCCAAGCCAAAGCCTTTTTTGATCGGTGAGTGATGTAGCGCTTGACAGGGCGCATAAAGCCTTGTTTATACTCGACGCGTCCGCAAGAGCGCGAAGTGCGCGCGGCAAAAATGACGTCATTGCGGTGTGGGCGGTCGTGCGCGTTGGGTGCGCAAGACCCCATTTCGCCTGGCGGTGTGCACGGCACTTTTTGTAACATCGCGCGCGGCGCCGCATCCGAAGATGAACGACTTCGAGCCGAATCTGGCCGAACTGGTGCGTCTGTATCAGCATGTTTATGATCCTTCTATACACAGAGACATTTGCATTGATGGGCGACCATAAAAGCCTCTCATTTTTTGAATAGGAACACATTTACATTAAGCACCCAGTTTGCACTCTAAAGTAACTGCTTATATTTACAAAATAAGCCTACAATAGCAGAAGTAAGCCCTGCTGATGAAATTAAGGTTTAAACACTCTTCAATAAGGCTTCAGTTGTTTACTAGTTTACATGCAGTGAAAGTACAATAAACCTACTGCATTTATTACTCTTTTTATATGAATCAGAAATTAATAAACTACTAATAAATGGCAAACTACTTCTTCACTGCTGATTCCTGGTGGTTTAGAGGAGAATTACTCCGAGTCGCCCCCTGTCGTTTCACAGAATAGCACAACGGCGAGCGCGTCAAGTATAAACGCCTCGTCCATATGGAGAGGTCCGCGCGCAGTCAGCGGAGACTCGCGCTCGTGCGGACGCGTCGAGTATAAACAAGGCTTAACGAGCAGAGAGCGCGCCCCGGCCGCGCGCGCGCACTCTCTCACGTCTTCAAACAAAACGAGCGCTGTCTTGCTCTCTCTCCCTCGCGCATATTAATCAAAGTCAATTGACACGATAGTAAAAGGTCGGAAAGACAGCAGTTTCACGTGGAGCATTTGGAGATTTTTTAGAGATTAAAGACTCTAGGCTTACACTCAATGAACAACATCTCAACACTAAATTATAAAGGCCGGTCTCATATAGACGCCCGTCTCAAATACAAGCCGGTGCAGTTCGACGATTTGGGAAATTAAAAGCCCGGGCTATTATTTGAAGTTTTACGGTATTCAGAGAAATGGCTCCTTTCCAGTGTACAGGACACCGAAAATGAGCCGTTTAAACTGAATCCCAGGAAATGTGCCTCACACCTGACATTCTCATAAAAGTCTTGTGAAGTGCGTTCAGTTCCATCTCCGTCGAGTCGCGGAATTCAGATTCACATTGATTTGAGTTGAATTTGAATTTAGTTTGAATGTAATTCGGATTAAATTCCAGTTACATTGTAACACGAATGAGAAGGATATGGAACTGAACCGAACTAAAAACAAAATCTGCGTATTTGGTCATCAGAACCACAAGCCTCTTTCCCTGCTGTCCTTCACATTCCATGCTTGTTTTTCTTGTTTTGTTTTTGCTGACGTTGATTCTTGAATGTAGTTTTGCTTTCCTGGAGCATCATCTCCTCATCTCGACTTCTTTCCTGGCACGAGTTTCCTTCTCTCACCCTGTCGTTCTGTTCTCATGATGAGGCCAGTTGCCCGTTTCACCATTTTAACCATTTTAACCATCATCCATTAAAGAGAGAAAAAACGTAGGTGATGTCAAAGACCATCAAGGTCACTGTTTTGATGGTTACTCCAAGCTTCTTGTGAGTATAGGTGCCTTCTGGTGCTTTTTAACCTCAATGTACAGTATGTTCATGCGTTGCACACACGTGTGTGTTTTAACTGCCCATCAGTTGGCCTGCAACAGAGAATGTCAGATTAAAGAATTGCATTATGGGTATAGCTAGTGTGTTAAAGGGTGAAAGGAATATTTTTGAACAAAATCTTTGGGTTAATGTTGATGAAAAGTCACAGAATAGTAATAGAATGTCCTTTTCCATGCACACATTATATCTATAAATATAGACTATATACAGTATATTGATGTCAAGGTTTACAAAGGCTGAGTGGATGAATGAGTGCGTAACAAAATGATCTAATATGTCAACTGATTAACTTTGTTTCTGCTCCAAAAGTATGTTATTTCATTTGTATTAATGTATAATCTGTCTGAAGTCAAACACTGTCTATTTTATTGATTATCGAAGTCTGAACTTTGCATGCCGAAGTGATGGACCAACCACTGAGCTTTATCAAGCATTTATGAGTTCTATTCTTATTTATATAAACCACTTTTATAACTTCTGTTCAAACTTCCAGTCCAGTCCAAGTGATGCACATCTATGTGACCATGTGCTAATCATCAATGCTGGCGAATCTGAAACAAAACAAGAATGTGCTATGATTTGAAGTAGCCAAGACTAATATAATAGGGGTAAATTAATGCATTTCATGTTTGTTTTTTAACTGTATTTTTATTTTGCATTTCACTGTATTTCGTATTTTGTTCACTATTACACTATCTCTGGCTTCCTGAATGTAACAAAAAAGAAAAAAGCCACTATTGTGCACTAAAGAAAAATCGCACAGCGTTAATTGGAGAGCTGCGAATGACGACTACAAACTACCAGAACAAATGTCCCTTCACAAATGTGTTTTCTTCTTGTTTCTGACATACTGTTGTTTTGAATCAGAACGATTTCTTGTAATATAAGAATAATTTGATCACTGAACGCTGTCTGCCTCAGGGGTGCGTTCAGGCACTGGCGAACACTGTATTCTGTCTGTCTAAAAAGGCTATATGAAATAGGTATTTTGTATATTGTGGAGAGAGAAAAAAAAAAGTCTTTTGCTACTTTTGTATCTAGAGGAGGAAGAGAACTTGGAATGTTCTAAGAGTTAGAATGTTACTGTTCCGTTTTAAAAAAAACACCAAATGTAAGGTCATGGGAGAAATCAACTTCAGTAAAGATGAAAGTTTGAAAAAAAAATAGCTTTAACAGTTTGTCGTTGTTGTTTTTTTGTTTTGTTTTTTATAGATGATTTTAAATATGTTTGAGGTAGTTTTTAAGATTATGTGCATGGTCATTGCTCACTCTGACTATAGGAAGATGAAATACACTCACTGTTTTTAAAGCAGGTGTGACCAAATATTTGATTAGATGTCTACTGCTATAACTGTAGTGGGGCTTCATCTGTGCCAGCCTGTTCAGATTAACGAAATATCTATTGCTTTTTGTTTTATCTGCACAAAGCGTGATGTTGCTCATAAATTTATTATATATATATATATATATATATATATATATATATATATGTATACTACTGTACACTTTACAGCATATACAGTATGTAGTAATATTCATGTACAGTTTGGGCTCATTTTGTATAAAGTTTTTAAAAGATTGATATCTGTAGATATGTGGATTTTTGCCAGTTTTAGCTATTAACAGCAAGAACATGTACATTTGCTTGTAATAAAGAAAGAGATTTAAATGTTTGAAAGCCTTGTGCCTTTTATCTTTCCTTAAGACAGAAGAGATTGTTGGCTAATAAAATATCACCGCAACTAGTTTCTTCTGATACAACAGGTGTAGTTCTATATTTCGACCTCAAGGTGGCAGCAAATTGTAACATATTGAGGCTGCTTCAACAATTCACCTCTGCTACTCTAAATACAACAGGACCTACTGATCATTACTGTCAAGTATAAGACATAAAAATAACAGAGAAAACTATAATAATCCAATTTTACATGGCAAATTTATTTCGGTGATTAATGCGTCCACCTCCAAACATTTCATCGTTTACATAAAAAATTGATCATTTAATTATTAAATCCAAGAGAATTCTATAAGGTCTTATAAATCTATAAGGTCTATAAAATTATAGAGAGACCCTTCATTCATCATTTGACATAACTTTGACATAAAGAGCCTATATTCCAAAATTATGACCTCACATTAAGTGAGGAATCGCTACAAACTTTTATACAGGCATTTTAAACAATGACAGTTGGCAAGGTAACATTCTAACAAATCCTCTGAAGATAGACCAATATATATAAATAAATTGGTCTATCTTTTTTGTTAGATTTGTTAGAATGTTACCTTGCCAACAGTAATACTCTAACAAATCCTGTGAAGATAGCTATAGACATTAGACAATTTGCATTAAGACCATTTTATTATGAGCTTTGTAGGATCATATTGACTTTGGTTTACGTGTTCGCTCACCTACCCTTGTAATCCTTCATGTGAAAAATTACTTGAAAACAACACTGGGCAGTAGTAGCACAAATCTTTCCATCTCAAACGCAACCTCTACCACTGAATATGATTGTGGATGACAGTTAAAATGGCCTCGGATGCTCTTAAAACTGACTGTCCTGTTTTTTTTTCTTCTTTTCTTTGTTCTCTGTCGTCTCCCCTTCCCTTTTTTATCCCGTGATCCTTCTCTTTTCTTGTCCTACTTTTTTATAGAACAAACTGGTGTTGCTTTTGTGCAAACCTGTTATCGAGGAACACTCCATAGGCTGCGATTGTCTTTGTCCGATTGCATTGTAAGTGGCTGAATTTGGCCATTTCTGCTGCTGCACTG